ACCTATTGCAATAAAACGGCAATTTCATACTTTAACCCCTAATATTTACGCTCTTTTTTAAATATCAATATGTAACTAAGTTTTAAAATTTAATTTAAAACAGAATGTAAATATTTTAAAATAACCGTGAAATACCAAAACATGCTTTCACTAAAACACCGACGAAATATATCAATTGTCTTAACTACTACTCTCATCTGTACAGGAAATATCATTCCGTATTGCTGGTAGTTACTTAAGCCCAAATAATCCTTATTTCTTATGTAATCAAATTACTTTTGAAATCGTTACATTGATCATACTTTACTAATTCGTAAGGCAGATTCCCCTGAGGACAATGAGTAAGAATCTCAAGTAGAAGTAAAGGAGGCTCTTTGTAAATAATTATTTGCATATGTCGCACTGTTAATGCAATAGTGTATTCACTCAATAAGAGTATTTTTTCAGAATTGATGAAAAACACTTCCCGCGAAAAATCGTTGAAATTTATGTATAGGTTACAGTTTATAACTGACATCTAAGCAATTTCCAATTTGCCAAATATATTTAAAAATAAAAGGGAAAACTTAACTTTTGAATATGGGCTATATTGACCAGAACTAGCTCACATGAAGTGTGTCTCACTTTGAGTTAAGTGGACATCTTTTAATGGTTGCCTACAATATTCTAAAAATGGTTTTATTGCCGTGTAGACAATCAAATTTTACATTCAGAAATGGTATAATCTTGAATTTCACGTATTTTGAGTTACAACACTATTGTAATAGCAGTGCGATATGTTATATAATTTACAATATTTCTTTCAAATTATACATAGATCGAGAAAACGTGTTACAGCTAAACAAGTCACTATCTGGGTTTTTGCCATCCGAGTATGCAGAAGCACACTTTAATATAAAGAACAATGACGACATCATTGTTAAAAGAATACTTTAGCGTCTTCAACTGTATAACAGTTGAATAAAATAAATTCATTTAGTTTTTCAAATTATATTACAGGCCTATCTAAGTCTGGAATAAAATCAAATTTAAAAGAAATTCAAATGACTACTTAGTATGGAACCAGACTGATATCTATAACTGTCAGTTTCCTTATCTCCTGACGCTAAGCGACATCTAGCCGCCAAAAAAAAGATTTTCAGTACCTACGTATAGATAGATGCACATTAGGTTACTTCACATAATATCAAATGTCCTGATTGGACAGATTTGTAATAAAAGATTAACTACTTTATTACAAAAAGTAAAGCAGATAATTCCTTCTCTAAAACACTCCACTCGAGAAAAAATTATCAAAAAATTTGTTATATCTATCAAACGGTTCCTAAAGTCTAACCTCTTAGATCAGCAAAAAATCCCACAAATAAACATAAATACATATTTCTGGAGTTACATGACATTATAAGTTTTGAAAATAAAAAAAGAGTGAGAAACACTTTTTAACTTCAAATTGCCGTATCTCGAAAGTGACTGGATGTGCATTGGATCATTTTTGTTTAACTACGTCCAATTTGTGTCTGAGTTATCAATATGAATTAACTCAGTTTTCTTTTGTCATGGCTTAACTTCATGCTTTTTGGTTATATCATAAAATCTCTGCCTCTGAATCTCGTCTCGTCACAAACCCACGACACCATTCACTTTCGTTAAGTCTGCTTAAGGTTACTGTAGTTTAGTTTAATATAACAATGCACCGAATATATTTTATTCAATGTAAAATATAACCTCCAAAACTTAAAACTGGAATATCTTTAATTTCAGACTTCTCATAATAGTAAACCAAAAACCAAATGTGTTCAGGAATTTAAACTCCATATTGTCACATATTGTTCATAAACAGACGCATATAATTTATATCAAAAAAAAATTTATATGGAAGTTCGCCATTGTTGTTTCTTGTGTCACTATAGTTGTAAGCCTCGTAAATGCCAAATTTTGAATATCAACCAAAGGCTTATTATAGAAACATGGCTGCTTAAATGAATTTGTGCAAACAACGGCCAAGAACAGTCGGTTTAATTGTCGTAAAAAATTACCACTTCTTAATATAAATTAAATTGTGACACTTGTGTAAGAATATATATATATAAAAGATAATACGTCAAAATACTTACGCCCACGTAATGTTTAGATGATCGACATCATTAGGGTCAACATTAGCTGGCACGTTCTTGTATTTGGTTGCTAGTTTGTCCACAATGGTCTCGCAACAGGGGCTGCACGTCGTCACCAGATTAGCGATATCGTCTTCTGGCAAAGACGATACTATCATTATGCCTTCGCAAGCGCGCAACACTACTTGGTTATCCTGAAAATATTATAAATTAGATAGGGAAAATGTACAAATTAATTGATGGATAACTCAGCTAAGTGAATTCATTTTAGAGATTTAAAAAAAAATCTGTAGTGGTAAAAAACAGAATTGAGAGATCAATACAAAATAACGACACTCACTGCACTATTCAAGTAAGACAACAGTAAATCAATTAAAAGAAATTTATCATTGTCATCACAGACAGTTTTGTGACTTTTGTTTGATGCATTCTCCTCAGCTACTGAGCTACTTGAAGTGGCATTACAACTTTCGTCTTTCAAGCTCGTCCGTACTATTGAAACATTTCTAAGAGGAGTTGTAGGCATCTCAACTTCAAACAGAGGATTCTTTTTAGGAGTTTGAACTTTATTCCGGAGGGGTATCAACTTTTGAATATCTTCTGGGATAGTTAACATCGAAGCCTTGTCTTCTATAAAAGGTGTGGTGAAAATATTTGCTAATCCTGGTTCTTTTCTAACAAGGCCACACAGAGTGAGGAGTAGCTCCACTTCTTCTTTCTCAGTTGGTGATGCTGGGCTTTCATTGCACCGGATTAACATTTGCTGCAAAGAAAAATGCATTTCAAAGTAAACATTGTAAATGTAAAAAACTATTTAAGTACTCATGAATTATATGGAACATTTCTTCTTGTCAGGAGCAAAAGAAGTATCCTAACACTTTATGCGACGCGAGTGAATCGCAAATTTATGCGAATGCGTGCGTCACATATACAAGTCGCGCTGCTACGATGGTACAGTCCTCTAGAATAGCATTGTAGAGCAATCAATTAACACGTTTGTCCCGAGATATACCACTGGTGGAGCATGGATGACTCACCCATCAGTGGTACCACGAGAGGTCATCACTTTTGATATACTAAGAAATCCATCCTTGTGAAAAAGTGCTAAAGTTGACGTTTCCACCCTGTATAATAGTCAAATTTTTATAATTTTATTTTTCCCTAAAATCTGTCCCATTGGACAACATAAATTGTCATTTTTATCCCGTTCTGAATGTGCTAAATATTATCGAGGTTTTCAATACGGAAATAAAAATTTGTATTTCAATAAAATGCAAAATAATTGAGATATCGAGCTGTAATTTATTCCATGTGCAGTATAAATGTTACATTTAAGAATGAAATTCAATCTCGTTCATATGAGTACCGCGAGCACATTTGCAGTGTTCAATTCTTTATAGCCAATTTTCCACTACTCTTCCACACACGTTGGCAATTACACTTTTGATATTATTTATGAGTTAATTTGATGTTGTTGGCTAACGTAACCCCATCAAAAGTAATCCACGGCATTAGATCGCATGAGCGAGGTGGCCATTCATTCGGATCATTTCGCAAGATTACACAATTATTGAACTGCCTCTGCAATAGATGATTGTTTGGTCAGCTGTTACCGCTGCAAACGTGCTTGCGGTGGTCATATGAACGAAATCGAATTCCATTCTTAAATGTAACATATTTACTGCACCTGGAATAAATTTCAGCTTAATTATTCTGTTTTATTGAAAAACAAAATTGTTATGCTCTTATTGGAAAACCCTATAGTGTGTACTCTAGTTTGAGGTAAACGGATGTTTACCTCAACTTAGAGTACACACTATAGATGTTGACATGATGATGATGATGTTGACACCAAACCATCAGACCGTTGATGGTTGTTTGATTCATTTCACAGTTCTCAAAGATACAGTTTTGTGTGATTGCGATGTACTTACTTGAAGCGGCCTATGGACACTAGCGCTATTAAGGCACGGCTCTTTCGTTCGTCTTAATAACTGTGTAGCTGTATTTAGTGCAAGAGCTCTTGTGCCAGGTGGGCGGTCAGTAGCTACAAGTGCTGGTAATGCATCTAATAAACATACTCTCCTTTGGACTATAGACTCCAAGCACCCGCCCATTGTACCTTCGGCCTGATCCTTTTCTTCTTCCACAATAAGCTACAAAAAACATTTCATAATTATTAAATAAAAAACAGCGTTTTGGAGGTTTCAATCCGATGTCTCCAGAATTAACAATGTTAATTCTGCTTATGTGTAATTACAACAGCGAGTAGGATTAGCTATGAACATGGCTCTGTGCAGTCAAAAACACGTCAAGTAGATAAGTTCAAGTCCTTATACTTATACCATGGATAAAATTTTGTAATCAGAAAAATTTATAATTTTTACAGCGTTATTTGTAGAACAGTAACCTCACAGGACTATTACTAACGTCGTGAACCACAACTATTGTTTCATAAATTTTTACACAACATAATAAATTACCTATTTCTGCCACCGAGCAGTAATGTCAGCATTACTATGTTCCGGCTTTGAAGGATAAGGGTGCTGGTGAAATTACAGGCACATGGGACTTATCAACTTATGTCTCAGGGTGACGGGCGCAGAGACACTGCCTTACGTATACATGTAGCTTACCATCAGGCGCATGACTTGTTCGTCCCGTCACTTGATATAAAATAAATAAAAAAATAAATATAACAAAAAGTTTTTGTTGTACTGTCTCTTTTTAGATTTGTATAGTTGTTCAGCAATGTCTGATCTATACAGGTCTATTCACGTTCACCGTCCGGAACAATTACTGCCAAATAGTAAAACTTGACAAAATCAAATGACAATTTCAAGTATGAAGCTTCATTTGCATCATGCATCTTGGAATTTGGTCAAGTTATGGCTTTCAGTCTCATGCATTTGCTCATCCCGGGAATAAATCGAGACTTGGTGCAGTCATGAAAATCCGCCAAATGTAGAATTCTATCAACAATTTGTGTAGTAGCGTAAGTAGCCTAGTACATAGATATTGTTGATGTAATTCTACTAAGAGCATTTGCGCACTATGTCTGATTTGTATCAGTTCTGAATCCAAGAAATGAAGATCTGAAATGTCACAGGGATCATTTTATCTCTAGGTTTCACAGGTGGACAGTCACCTCTTCTCAGGGCGAAAGTAATATGTTACAATTTAGTAGCACTTGCTTTGATTTGTCATTTTTTCAACCAGACCCAAAGTGAACCTAAAAACGCTACACCAACAACAATCCACTAATTGCAAATTCAAATACCTAGTAAGGCACTTTAACTACTTTAAAGACTAGCACGTCTCAAATACTTGCTACGTTTTGAATTGATAAAGTGACTTACAAGATTTTTTACCAGTAACGATGCAGACTAGCTGTTTCTTACCAGGTTTTAAGGTCTTATAATCTTTGATAAGTTGTAGAATTATGAAGTGACTATCACTACAGTTCGGTGAATACTTACTAAGGGAGTAGTACTCTGTTATAAAATTATTTACCTAAAATTTGCTTACTAAGTTTTACTCTGAAGCAGCCTAAATATAATTATGGCGATTTTTCAAACACAAATGCCACTCTAAAACTAAAGAATCTAAAATGTTTTGCACATTATTGTAAGAGCCAAGGTTATGTATTAACAACATCTCAACATTTGATTGTGAAGTTTTGAGCATAATGTGAGCAAGTCATTTATCAATGTTGTTAAAACAATGAAGATACTTTGAAAATTGAATAATTCAAGGTCACAATTTTACCTGTAACATTTCATGTAGATGATGTGGTACTCTTGTGTCTTCAACATGGATTTTATTGCTATCGTCGTAATTCTGATAAAAATGCAGTATCATTTTCCAGTGGTATTCAAAATCCTCCAGCCTTGATGCTGGAGGGGCCAGCTGAAAGTTAGTTGCGTTTATCGAGATTGCGTGTCACATGAGCTATTCACATAATAAAATTGTTCAATACTTACGACGTCTGCAGCGGTCTGTAGGGCATCGGCGAATTTACTAAACATTTTTCACCTATGTTTTTAATTGTTACTTATTCTCTACAACTACGAGGAACGTTAGATGGACACATTTTCATGAATATTAAATCACTAATAGAAGCTGTAAACTAATTTCATAACATACAAAGCCAAATTGAGACCAAAACGACATACAAAAACGTATGTGTATTATTGAAAGCCTGAAATGTATGACTGTGTATGACAATAATACTTTCATCTATGGTATAACATAGTCATACCATAGTCACTCCTTTTTTTTTTGCTTGACAACAACAGTCATAAAAAAAATCGTTAACTTGCTAGAGCTGTCCGCTTTTTTATTTTTTTCCGATTTATAATGAAATAAGACACTGGGTAAACCCGAAAAATTAAAAAATAATAATAATATTGGAATTACGAAGTTCAGTCAAGAGCACATCAAGCTTGACACCTTGTACAGGGTCAAGAGCACGAAAAGCTTTACACTTAAAACTTAAATCAAACTCTATACCGTTTACGATATCCAAAGTACAAAGTGTCAAGCTTGATGTGCTCTTAGCTGTACTTTATTGGACAGTTCGTATTGTAAGCGTCATATAGTTGGATTTAAATCTTAAGTGTCATGCTTGACGTGCTCTTGACGTGACGATAGTTTTATTTTTTCCATCCTAGCCCTATACCTACATGTCAAGAAGTTCTATAGCCTAAGGTATTTTATAAATCTGTCTATCATATCCTTAGAGGATGGAAAAGATCATATCACGTAGCGATTCGCTCTGGACCTTTTGGAGGGAAAAGTTTCGTTTTTATTTCGACTTTCAATTATTTTGTGAAATCTAGTTTAAAGTGGAATAGGATAGTGCTATTGTGCCTTAATCGAAGATTAAAACGCGAAATTATACGAATCTCGAACTAGAATACCCGTATCGGCCCGTTTTAAGGAATCCCGAGTCAATCCAAGCACGCCGCCTCAAATTGCCTATCCTCTTTGTGGCGGCCATATTTACAGAAACATAATTAAACTTTATGTTTAGGCTGTTGGCTTCGCCAAAGCCTTAATAAATAAAAAAAAATCATATCACGTAGGCAGATGCATACATAATTTGGGCATAAAATTGGATGTAGTTATTGCAGGAGGCCCGAACCCGAAGAATAAAAACTGCCTAAAATAATAATAATTTTACGTGTATTTTTTGCATATTAATCTGGCACTTTGACACTTTTTATAAAAATATATTACCTCCATATCAAGATATAAAGAGTTTTATAGGTTTGGTTTAGTTTTATATACTACCACTCTTGCTCCAGAAGTTGGAAAATATGGTAGAAGGGACAGTTTGTTTACAGATTACTTGACAGATTGGTGGTAGAAAGAGTTAAGTGTAGATCTGCCCAAAGTTTATGGCGTGCCGAAAGGCACTGTTTTGTGCCCCATATGATTCCTTGCCTATATGAATGACCTTTGTGATCTCCAGCTCCGTAAAGGGAATATAGTGACTTTTGCCGATGACACTGCCCTAATATTTCATGGGGTTACTTGGCGATAGGTGTATGGCATTGCTCAGAGTGGCTTCAACTTAGTTTATTCCTGGCCCAAAAACTAAGGCTTAACATTAAATGTAGGAAAAACGAAATTTATTCCCTTTACAATTAAAAACACACAATTCCTCCATCACAGCTCACACCTGTCTCGACGACCAATCATACTCCTGCCCCAATCTTACGCTAGCTTCCCATACCAAATAATCTTGGTGTAATGATTGATAATACTCTGAGCTTTAATCTGCATGTAGATTTACTATCACCAAGGGCTCGTAAATTGATATCTATCTTTAAAAGCCTTTGTGTGTTCTAACATACTACATGTGGTGGAGTACCTAAATCTTCTTTAATAAACGTTGAAAGAGCTCAAAAAGCTGTCTTGAAGGTGAGTCGGTCTTTTCTGTTCTCTACTTTAGACCCTTTGTGATGTTCTGTCTGCGCTTCCACTATTTATTCTTCACACTGTCCTAAAGCAACACTTCAAGCTTTTTTGTATTAATCATAGTACAAAAAATCTTTGCACATTACTGTTTTGTTCATATTATTGTCAAGAAAAATCACTAAAATCGAGATCTCTACGTGGCAGATCAGCTCTCGTAGCTCTCGTAGCATGGCTACGCACGATAGTCGCGACGCGCGCCATAAAATCGAAATAAGTGCGCCCTATTGGTTATCTAAATTACATCTGATCGAGTCAGCCAATAGCGCGATCTTATTTCAATTTTATCGCGCGCGTCGCGACTTTGATGCCTAGCCATGCTACGGGAGCAGTGTGGTAACCGTGCGGCCACAGACGCAAAAAGAGTGCATTTGATACATCAACGTTTTGGGTTTGATTTGGTTTAATTCCTTATCAAGTCGAGATTGAGTAATATTATTTAATAGGACTAATTACTAATACCAAAAAATAAAAAACTGTTTTTATTCTTTCCAAGTCGCGCAATCACAAACTACAGATGCTGTTACCACAATCTAATCAATAATTCTTATTGCAAACGCATCGTGCAAGCAACTAAAGCGGTAAATGAATGTCCTTTCTGTAGCAAAAAAGAAAGATATAAACGGCTATGGCCACTCATAAATAGACCGTTCACATAACCGAAAATATCTTAATTATTGTTAATTTAGGATGCGGCGACGGTTTTCAATGAGAATATCTGCAACAGCTACTACGACATTTTTGTCATCCAAGTACGCAGAAACTGTTTATTAACCTTTAGAATAAAGTTTTCGTTTTACTATAGATTTAAACCTCGTCTATATTGGGTAAGGTAAATTTCACACAATTATTTTCCTTCTCATTAAGGAGCAGGTTATTAATTGCAAACCAATCTAAAGTAGGCATAGCATTATTCATATCGTTGTGCATTCGATATAGATCCTGATTCATAGTGTAGCACTGTGTAGAGTAGACCATAGAATGATAAATACAGTTTTTTATAATAGTATATTGTATATTTTTTCTTTCGTGGTGTTGATATTACTCAAAAATTTATGTGAAGTTCGTCATACATATTGTTCAGCGTGTGCAGTTTGCGAGGCGTCGTAATTCATGCGTCGTAAAATTAAAAATTATCGAAAACTGCTCAGACATCGGTCATAGTCGTAGTCTAACAAAATAACACATTAACAATTTTGGCTGTTTTGGTGATGCTTTGCTTTTTTAAGGAAATGTTAATTCACCAAAGAGGTATGACTTTGCTTTCATATACGTGCCCTCACAAGTGTAGGCTGCAGTGGCGTAAGACGTAGGTCGCATAATTGGCAAAATGACGGGTTCCCCCGGTCTCAAGCGGCGCATTTAATATTTACATGCCAATTTCTAATCTTAAATATATAAACTACATTTACCATGCACTCTTACAAATAGGTACATACATCTCTATCTTTTTTTTATGAGATCAAGTGATGGGACAAACAAGTCTGCCACTGTCCCTGTCACCCTGAGACATAAGTTGACAAGCCCCATAATGTGCCTGTAATTTCACCAGCACCCATACCCTTCATAAACGGAACGCAGTAATAGTCACATTATTGCGTGTATACATCCAATTATATCTATAGGTCTCGAGTAATCAATCTAGAGTTCAAACTGCGTCCACCATCTGTTGCATTTGACAAAAATGAGCTTTAAAAAGGTCATTGTATTTAAGGAGAAGTTGCGTTACGTAATGAAGTGTAACATTAATTTTGATGCGTTTATTTATATCTACTACTTCTACAAAAGGAATGCATATAATATAAACTACGAAGTAATAATCTAGTTATGTATAAAAGTATTTCAATTTCAGCAATCTACTGAATAAATTCGGATTAATGAACACACCATAAGCTGACTAGTCAAATCGTCGATAAAGAAATAAAAAAGCACAAACGCTTTCGCGTGTACTTGTACCAACTGGGTATATTCTTAATTTAATAATATAATATTCGTTTTAACTCGTTAATTAATTTAAAACATACCTAGTTATGGCACCAGTATGACAAATTGTTTAGTAATTATTATTTTACGGTTTAAAAATAACAAACTGACTTTTAGACTAGTACGCAACGTTGGGTTCAAGTAAGTTAGTAGGTAAGTGACAATAAGGCTTAATTTCAAGCGAATTTCTGTAACCGTAGCATAACAAACTTTATGTCAATTGTATATAACGTACATTATGTATCGTACGTGTTTAGCTCGTATCTGGGGATCTACTCCCGTTCACCGTAAGAAATCTGTCCGAAACAATTACAGTCAAATAAGTAATACTCGACCAATTGAAATAAAAAAACAATGTCAAATATGAAGCTTCATTTGTATCATGCGTCTTTAAAATTGGGCCCCTGGCCCCGGGGCCGTACTCTCGAATCACGAGATCCTTAGTTTTTGTACATGAGTTTCGGTCGGAGCTAGAACTATCATTGGTTGCATAGCAACGTTTTTATTAAACATTTTGTATCGAATCTGGCTAGAGTTATAGTTTGTACTGTATAACGTACACGGCATAAAGTTTATTACGCTATGTACAAAAATACAAAAGTTATAACAATTCGTATCCATTAAGTTCGTAATGTAAATTGAGCCTAAAATACAGGAGTAATAATGTATTATGTATAAGAAAATTATTTGTACAGTCAACAGTAAGTAAAGTAGATGTAGGCGAGGCAAGCACTACTAAAATAGAACTACATATTAAAAAAATACCAGCCCCCGTAGCATGGCTATGCATAATAGTCGCGATTCGCGCGATAAAATTGAAATAAGCGCGCGCTATTGGGTATCTAAATTAAATCTGATTGTGAAAACCAATAGCGCGCGCTTATTTCAATTTTATCGCGCGCGTCTCGACTATCATCCGTAGCAGCCAGGTGTACATAGGCAGACCTGATTAGAATAACAACTTATATATATTTAAGAAGGAAATAAGTATAAAATATTAGTGGAGGAAATTAAGCATCATATATAGTATATACAATAGTTTATAATACATGTAGCTAGAACAAGTATCTTCTAAGCAATGACTTCAGAAATTACTTTAATAAATATTCGATGCATGTTAGTTGTGTTAGGTAAAAATTGACAAGCATTTTTTGTTATTACACAAGTAGGTTCTTTGTAAAAATGCCAAGACTTGAAACATTTAACAAATAAGTTAGCTCTAAAAAGTTTATTATTACACTAACCGATTTCAAGGGACCGTAACTCTACTTAAGGATGTGGTGTAGTAAGTTAAAAAGAGCGGCGCACTATTTTGGGGCCACGCCTGCCCTTTAAGCAGGGGGTCTATTCCGTTATATTATTATATTAGATATGTTAATTTAGCACTATCGCCGTGAGTGCCCCATACATACGCGTTTATGTAAACAAAGCAGTGTGCGATAACTTGATAAGATAGGTACCTGGTATTTTGGTACCAGGCCTAAAATATAAATTCAGAGAATTGCAATAGCAAAAATCCATATAAAATCTATTGAAATTCATAAAATCTATAGTATAGAACATAAAATAGAACGTAAAATAGATAAGTAATAAAAGTATTTAGTGGCGTTTTCGTATTCGAGAGCAAAGAACAATTGGCTTGCCTGTTGTACATAAAGTATATAGCTTAATGACAGGATCATTTAGTTGATAAATCATTTGTTAGATATATGATTATATGATGCGTATTTTAACGTCATTGTATTCTTACGCATTTAAATTATGCTTCCTTATCAGTTTTTATCTTTTGCTGGTACCTGTACGCTCTGAAACATTGTACACCGTTAGCCAAACCCAGCATAAAGTTACACAACGAAAGTGAATAATTAATAGGGACGATGACGAGGCAATAACGAGTCCATATGAAGCCAGTCGCGGCCAAGCTCCCAGATTGCGTAGTGGACACCTTCTCCAGTGGTCGACGGAAATCGTCCAAAGACGCCATTACAAGAGCCTGTAAAATTTGCAAATATCATGTTACTTATTTGTTGAATGTAGAGGTGAAAAGAAAAAAACAGACGGCCTATTTCGTACGTTTTTTTAGACCAGACTTATCAAGTAGACGTAGGTAATAATCAGCTAGTTAAAAGGACACAAAACCAGAATCGGCTAGTCGTTTACACGTGCATCATCGAGTATATAACCAGAAATAGAGACGAAATAAGGGTCATTCATCCCTGGCAACTTATCGGGCAAATGGGCCTTATATCACCTTTAAATATCAACTCTCGTTTACGCTGAAACCACAAATTAGAAAGCTGAAATAGTACAGCGCCAACGACTGACCCGTATGTACGTTTCCGTATATTCCAAAAACATTCTGTACTTATTGTAATAAAGATAATATCTCTAATAATGGGGGGGCTGTTCCATTCGGTGGTGTGGTAAAAACAGCAAGACATGTAATTACAAAACAAACGGAACCACATTTCATCGGTAATTGAATATTAAATAAGTAATTTTTCAATTTTCGTCCATTATAGCAAAGCTAAACTGGTCGATCTGAAATGAAACAATTGACGACACCCGTCAATTGTTTCGAATTCGGGCTGGCCGATCGGAGCGCAGTTGTCACCGTAATGATTTGGCAGAATAGTTTTCAAAAAATTTCGTCTATAATTCTGGTTATAATCTATTTTTCTATCCTCTAAGTAAAATATACTCGATAACGTGTATTTACCACGAGTTTACTGTGACAGTTGTGGCTAGCGACTGCCGTGTACATTACTTCACTATTTTGTATGACAAATTATACAGCGCCGCCAACGGCCACAAGAAGAAACAACATTTTTTATACAAATATTTTACGCGGTTGCCAGCTATATCTGTCACTGTAATCTCACGGTAGTAGGTAGGTCGGGGTCAAAAAGGTCACAATAGGTAAGCAAGCTATTTTATAGTGAACTTACGCATTGCTAATTCTACAAAAAAGAAAAATAACATGTAGAAGTACTTATACTTCTAGATGTAATTTATTTCCAAAATCCAGTCGCATGTGGATCTTTAAAACTTACTATTCTTCTGCTATACATTTCCAAAATAGTCGTATTTACGTTACCTCATAAAACTTCATAGTTGGTAGCAAGAATAGAATAGAAATAACTAAGTTATTTTCTTGTATTAGTTGCTACCAACAGTAAATTACAGCTCTGCTAGGGCTGGAACTGGTAGCGGGACGCATGTGGATTTTTAAAACGAAGTAACTAGTATCAGATGAATCTACTACACAGGTCCAAAATAGTCGTTAATCACAGTTACCTCGCTTTCATAGTTGGAAGGAAGAATAGAATTAAAATGTTATTTTCGTAATAGTAGTTACTATCAACAGTAACTTGGCAGCTAGGGCTGTACTGCATTGGTAGTAACATTTTTCAATACGTAAATTACGTAGGTAATTGGTGGCGGGAATTGGTAGATATGGAATACTTATATTAACTGCGCTTGTACCTATAGACATTAATACAGGAATTCTAATAAACATATACTTAAACAAGAAATAGTCAATCAGTATTGTATGCATTCACTTATTAGCGCGCGTGCTGCATTTATACGAAATTTATTGCAATTTGCGAACTACATAGTTCGCATTTTTTATTTAGTAGGTACACACTACTCACTAGAATCTAGCACCAAGAGTCCTGTCGTATCAAACCAAAACACTGCAAATCCCGGTGCATTACAACAAGTCAGTTGTCTGTTATCGAGGGTAAATAAATTGATTCGTACTTAAATAGAAATAATTTATTTTGCAAAGTTAACAGCTGGATAGAATTCTTTAATATCTACTATACATAGTAAGCTAAACGTATCTTTAATGTTATTAACTTAAAAAACACAAAACCGAACAATACTTTTAGCAGTATTTTTTCTCAAAATACTGTTTTTTATTACAGTTTTGGTTTGAATAAAAATCAATTTGAATAGTTATTGTTGAGTAGATCTACAGTAAGGGCAAAAGATATCAATAATCAGATTTTTTACTATAATTTTAATTTCTATTCATTGATTATTTAATAAAACCAGGTTATACCTACTACTTTAAAGCTAATTTGCTATTTTGATTAATACATTTTGTACGTTCTCGATAGTATTTATTTTACCATTATCCTGAATAAAACACTAATATGAAACGATTCTTACGTAGTAATGTATGTACCTATGTAACTATACCCTCGTTACAGTTCATTATTAGATTTTTTATTTATTATAAGTCATATTTGATGTTTATTAAGTTAAAGCCATTTAATTACTTAGGATACATACGTAACTGTGCTTTTATTAATATTATAAAAAATTACAATAACAAAGCACATAACAAAGGTGCAAATATTAATTGTGAACTGTAGTTCTATTCATAGCAAAGTTTGAAATTTAAGATCATTTAGTTACTACTGATTATAAAGGCAGTAAGTAATACTATTTTTTATAATATTTTCTACTAAGCTAAAAGAGAAAATTAAGCTTTTTGTATAAAATATGCTGTATATTTAACAAAACCTACAAAAGTTTCAAACTCATTTATATATCTAAATTTGCTTTTTGAAGTCTTAATTTCTTCCGAGAGTTGTACCTACTCCTAACAATACCTGGTATTTTTGCTAGTTTATTCTAGTTTTTACCATGGCTCGGCAAGGCCTGACATTACTATAAACATTTCTATCGCGCGTTTAATAAGTGCAAATGCGCATGCATGACTATACCTAATTCTTCTAAGGTTATCTACAAGGACCCTAATGATAACTGTATCAGTGTTGCAAAGTTATCTATATCTTAGCACAGCTACATAATATTAGCAAATAATAGGCTACTATAAAATATAACATAATTCCCCACAACGTGCGTTATTATGCCAATGAGCAATAGCCAATAAAAAATCGTGCAATGGACATTCCGTTGTCTAATTGTAGTGCAATATAATATTAAAATAGTACCTGTTTTTCTTTTACGACGAATATGCCATTTTCTATTCCAATACCCATTCCTTGACTAATGCAGAATTAAGAAAAGTAAGCGACGCGAGACTGTGAAAGATATTTATGTCAATGTGTTACTTCCTTCACCTTCGACTCAATTTATATTGTGACGGAACGGAAAAAAATCGAATTTTTGTAACGATATTATACATAATGAACTATATGGTCAATTCTGTAACGTATAAAGTAGACACGAGCCAAAATCTTCCGCGGAACGCGCGAGCAATCTCGAGCGTGTGCTATGTACAATATCGTTACAAAAATTCGCTTCCTATCCACTCCGCATCAATATAAATTTAGCCTTTGAGTAAATGAGATGCCATGAAATGGTAATAAACGGAAACTTACGTACTTGTAGTATGGAAATAATAACACTTACATATACAGAAGTCACAATATTGACAAAAACGTAGGAAAATAAAATAAGTAAGAACGAAAATATGTATAAAACAGTATATTTCCCATAACAAAAAAGGTATTACAAAAATAGACATTTCCACATGATATCAGTTTAATATGGTGCCAATAGTGTTAAAGTTAGGCTAATAATACGTATTAAACACATAATAACAGTAAAATAGCACATAACAAGTACACTTGAAGAGTGTTTGGCAAATTAACAAAGATTGTTTAAGTTGTAGTCCCCGTCAGGGGGTTAAATAATACGTAAAATTGTTTTATATTGCTAGGGTGACCACAAACTTATAAAACAAAGGTACTCTGTAAATGTGCCAAACTACTTATGTTTAAACAATCTGCCAGTTTTATAATAACATTGAACTATATGGCAGAAAGTCTTGTGTATTAGCAATCTAGTAACAATTAAATAAGGGCTAATTGCAACGATTTTACGTTTCACTTTAACATATTTAGATTTAGAAATATTATAGTCTCTAATATCTAATATTAATAAAACTGCGTAAAGTTCCTGCAGGTGAATATGCATTTAACCCTTAATACAAGATAGTAATCTTTTCTATCACAGATAAGGAATACCCATGTAATTAACACTATATTATAGAGCACCAATTACTTGAAGCTCAGATTATTGATTTTCAAAACAAGCTGTTAAATATTTTCGTTATCGTATAATTTGTAGACTTGTGATTACAGTCCCATAAAATGTTTAGATATCAAGGAAGACTAAGATCTTTCAAATTATTTGTAGAGGTGGTCAAGGACTTAAATTCATTCTAGCCATAAAGGGAGGGTGGTAAAATATTTAGCATGACTCACACCTTGAAGATGTTGTTGTTAAAAATTCATAGTTCTTGTAGTGTCATAACAAGAATTGTACTTTATTATAGTTGAATAACATATTATATTTGCATGCTATATTAGAATAAGTTGGATTTATTTAAATTAAGATCATGACAAACAAATAAATTGATTGATCGATTCAATTATAATAATATTTTAATAGCTATGATATTACAATTGCAAAAGTTCCTTTTTAAATACAGTAAGGCCTGTGATTGTGTCTTAATATTTTTTCCGTAGTTTAATTTGTCACTACTTAATCTTTGATGACCAATGAATTGAAGTCTTACCATGTCTCATTTTAAGGAACCTAAAATATTTACAATCTTACAACATCAACAATAATATAACTTTTTCTTAAGTATGTATTCTTTGTCATGACTTTTCTATTTGAATGCTGCAGGCTATACAGTCACTCAACGATGGTTTTAAAAGAATGAAAAACCACCAGAGATTCAATTGAACTACCTAAAGACGCTCCCATAACTCAATGACACCCTACTTATTACTATTCGAGCTATGTAAGCAATAAATATAGTAAAATAAATATTAATAATCACCAATGTCATCTAAAAAATAAAAATAAATAAAAATATAATCTACTTTTAAAATGTGCCTACAAAACCCTCTAAAAGTTAAACAGATTCTAAATATTTTTTTCAAATGATCTACCATAAGTGCTGAAATAATTTATTTTTTTTGTTGCTCCAGTGATTTCTGGTATTGATAGGCTCTGGCTAATTGATAGATATTTGTGGCAGCAACAAAAACATTAACTGAAAACAAACTCCAGTTTTTTGGTATGATGACAAGGGAGTAACGGGACCAGACCAAACCAGTTGCTGCAAGGGATGAACATTGGGATATGGATAGTTTATCAGCGGGACGATTAATGTCTCCCAACCCCGCTATCACCAAACCCTGAAAGTGTTAAGATGATATCAGAATGAAAAACCACAAGACAGTTAGTTTATCCATTACAGCATATTTTCTTTTTCTTATTGTAGCATTTCCTAAGCCTGTCGTGATGATCGTGCTACATGCAATTTAATTGCGCCTACTTATGTTGTTACAAAAGTAATGAAATAAAAAGCTAATCAATTCCAGTTGTAAATTAATGACAATTAAATTGCTGAAAAAAAAAATTTATGAATAAATATTGTATGTATGTAAAAAATTTTACAAAAGGTTTCTGTGTTTGATATCTGTGTCAAATTGATATTGCTACATTAATATGTACATATTTTTAAAGTAATTCAATGAGCAACAGTACCCAATCAACATAGATTCACTTTTCAGACAAAGATATTTCACATCACAGTCGAGATAAGCATTTGTTTTATAGAAATTTAAATCATAAAGTGGCTAACGCTTTATTCAAGGTTAAACATTCGATTGCATGTAAGTAGATACCTTATCTCATGGATGTAATTTATATTTGAACGAAAATTAAAATATTTTTTTGAAATCGTAAAAGGTACGAAAATCAATGCGTCGATCGTACCGTACCCTTGTTATCGCTGCCCTAATACAAGGTCTCGGAATAAATAGCTCGACCTTGGCCATATCCGCGTTACACTTACCCATTTAAATGCCGGTGCCCAGAAGAATATCGTCTTTGGACCTGGAAAAAAATTATTTTACTCAACCGCGCATTTAATTATGGACAAAATACATCACAGAATAGTAATAAGTATAATTAATTAGGTACGTACCAGCTGGATGTTCCCATAGTGGACGAAAAGCATTCGGCACAAACTTATCAGAGGCGCTGATAATAGCTTTGTATACTTTAGCCATTTTGTGTTAACGGTACGAAGGGTGTTGCTACGGTATGTGGAGAAAGGGATTTAGATTTGATCTACAAATTTACATGACAAATTAAATTCAACTTGTGGAATGATTGCACGATCCACGACAAACCAGATCAGTCAGCTCGTGACACTGACATTAGTGACAGCTATGGTGACGCAGTACGCAGTGAGTGGCCTAGCGATCAGGGTTGCCAGATAAAGAAAAGTTTGGAAAAACAGTTACAATCAATGTTGTGAAAATCTCGTACAAATGCTTACGCGATTCGTAGTGGGCTCGTATCACTTACAGTAAAAGTACGAGTTTTCCCGTAAACGTACGAGAAATCTCGTACGTCTGGCAACCTTGGTAGGGATGGGCGAGTCGAGTTGTTTAACTCGATTAACTAGAGTTATCGGTTATTCGTTTTCACTTGGTCGGTTCGGCGACCTTCGAAGCACATTCGAGTCGCGGTCGGCCTAAGCGGCCGGTCAATATCGTACCCAACTCGGTGAATCGTCGGTTCGGGTTCTGCTCGCGACTTGCGGTTGCTGTCACTGTCCCTATCTACCGACCCGAGAGATAAGGTTTCCCAGAGAGACTATGGGCTCAACTGCAAGACCAGTGTACGGCGGGCGTCTGGGCCAAGACCTTTGCCACTCATACGTCTTCACGGGCGTTTCTGGCGGACCCGGACTTGGATAGTTTGTGGCTATCTGCAGGGACGAATACGTTCGTCTTCCCCGGAAGTAAGAATAATAATAACGCACACACTCAATATAGCCCCGCACTAGGAAAAACTCTGTGTCGCGGGTGCCATGGACACACACATAGTAAACCACAAATTACACCCAAACTCACGAGAGAAATAAATGTAGGCCATACAAATATTTCTCCCGACCCGGGAATCGGACCTGGGACCTCTGCGTGGCAGTCCGGCGTGGTAACCGTTCGGTCACGAAGGCAGTTAAAGTAAAAAGCAGGTAAAGGTAGGGTGTGACCGGGGCGATCGTGACGCGCGCAACTAGCGCGTCTTATTAACGGTCTAATAAAGGGCCTGAGGAAAGGAGGAGAGCCCTTTACGTTGGTGGCTATGTCCAGGCATTGTCACAGGACACTGCCACTAGGCATCTCCGGCACTAGTCCGGAGAGCTAGTAGAGGATGAGCTAGACATCTGCCGCTCTCTTCGGTCACGTAGGAATCTGGGAACTGGCAAGACGTCGGGAAGTCGTCGTCGAAGGCGTTCTTACAGCTCCGCCACCAATGAGGAAATTTGGTAGTCGGCTTAAAGTCGGCGGCTCAGCGGTGGCAACCGTTACTCGTGCGGATCGCAACGGGAAGTTAGCGATAGGAAAATAGGGAGGCTCACCTCTCTCTCTCACTCGTCCCCTCTCTAGAGTGGAGTAATAACAACAGCATGATTTTGCATTCGTCTGAAAATATGGGCTAGTGTCAAAGATTTATACTTCTTTGTCTTCTTTAAACGTCTACACTTGAGTAAACATTTAGAGCAAATACTTCTTCTCTTATGGTTTTGTTCTTCATCATTAGTAAAAGCCGTTTAGGTAAACGCTTGGTAAACGTTATTCAAAGTGTCTTCTTTGTCTATTTCTTCGTATTTAGTCAAATTATACAATAAATTAGTCTACTGCAGTCCTAATTTCATAGTAACGCTCTTTAGCTATTCTTCATAATTTATTCACTAAGAAAATATGGGTCATTATTTTCTTTACTAAGAGTCGTATTTCAGAACTCTACTCAATGCTCAAGTCAGGAATTGAGTATGATTTAAAACACTAGAAATCACACTCAAGTCCTTGCCATTAGGGTCATATTTTCAATGCTTCAAATCATAATCAAGTCCTGACTTGAGCATTGAGTAGAGTTCTGGAATACGACCCCTAGTATAATACTCACAACAAATGACAACTCTAATTACAACGTTTTGTGTAGAAGGTCGCAGTCGCAGTCCTTTTATATCATTTGGAGAATATTAAGTTCGTGAAAAAGTCATTGCGAAGGGGCAAATTAAAACTTTTCGAAGTTATTTTTAAATAAAAATGCTTTGTATTTAGTTGCATCTAATTTTTCTCATAAAAGCTTCAATTCTAAAAGCCCTTGTGTAAAACAATAATCCTTTCTGATATTTATTAACGTTTCACTACGAAACAGGCAGATAGTACAGGTACGAACCTTTTTACACAAATTTCATTACATTGCGCCACTGTGCACTTGCAAAACGCAATTTGTAATTCAACATAAAAAAAAAAACATGGATAGAATGTGTGGGCGTGTGAGTGTGTAATGTAATGTGTCAACGATTGGGGAATTTATAATTTCCTTTGTTTATTTTACTTTTCTTTATTTACTCTTGTGTTTAGTGTTATTCCTCATGCATCGTGTAATTTAAGTTTAATTTTGAATATGGGTACAAGCACAATGGGTAGCGATTTGCATTCAGATAAACAGGACAAGATGTTAAAGTTGCAAGCTCGAAAGAAGGAACTGGAGCAAATGTTGGCATCTAAAAATGAAGAGTTGTACAAACTTTGCGTTCAAGAAGTACAACTAACTGGTATTATGCCTCCTGAAGCGCCACTGAGTCCCGAAATATCTAGAGACAGGCTCGGAAGTATAAAGAGCGTCGAGAGATCTACGGATGGAAATGACGTTCAAGACGGATTAGACAACAATTCTCGTCGACTTAGAATAGAAAGAAATGCTGATATAGACCAGAATTTGCGTAAAAATCTTTCGCATCGCCTGTCCACACCCTCAATATCAGGTATATCGACGAAAAGCGCTCACTCGCGGCATGTGCGTCGTCCTGAAACGAGTTGTTCAAATTTTTTCCCGTCGCCTCCTCAAGAACGAAATCCTGATACATTTTCGATCCATGCGTCTTATACGTACCCAGCGTTGTCTAACCGACTTGAAGGTACTTCAGAAAATGTAGATGTCCAACAACAGCATATGTATAGACACCACACTATGACCAATGAGTACATGAACAAGATTTACTACAGCAATGCTCCAGAAACTCATAATGTGTCAAGGTTAAGAGAAACTCACTTTAGCTCCAGTCACCCTGACATTACTACCCATTACACGCATGGAGGTCTGGCAACACACTCTATCCAACAAAATGGTGTTCGCAACTCTCCTTTATTGTACCAGTATGCGTCTCAACTAAAAGCGCAAAGTCAGCATTTAGGTGGACTTCATCACCACGCCATTCAGTCTCAGACTAAGAGGCGCCCAGAAGGTGTCCGTCGCAACACATTGCAGAGAACACAGACATACCACCTTACATCTCACAGTGACTATAATCACCACTTAGAGAATGTTGCTGATAGTTATAGACCACCAGCCCAAATATTTCAGCATCGATCACAACCAGATATTCAAGAACAACCAAGTGATAGAATTCATATCCCAAATGAACGAGTTGCCCAAGTACCTAACACATTGCCATTGCGTGAACGCAATGTAATAAGAAATCCTGCACATATGCAGCTGCAAGTGTCTACCGATGATTATATTAGGGAAGACCGAAGAACATATCCAGATGCTATGAGCCCTGTCAGTCAAATGTCTGGTTATTCGCAGAGTAATTTTGATTCTGTTAGTATCAATAAATTCTCACCACTTTCACAAACAGACAGTAAGGTTAAAGAGAAGCAGTGGTATGAAACTTCTTTAGATTCGCCGACTAAAGATGTTCCTGTTCTTAAAAAGACTTCCAGCCTCAAGAGAACATCTAGTATTGGTAACTCTCAAACGTACGAGATAATGATATCAACCGGAAGGCATTCAGCAATGCAGAGTCCCAATCAAGTGCCTCAAAGTCCTCCTGTACTTTCACCCAGTGGCGTCTCTCTAGAATCTCCAAAAAATCTTACTGTAATAGAGCAGGGTAAATGTATCCCTTATAGGGAGGAGACAAAGCCATTTGAAATGTCCGACTTTTACAAATACTCTACAAAATTCAGACAAGCGAACGCTCAAAAAGGCCCAGCACCAAACCCAGTCCCAAGCACAGGTTTTAATAAATTGCCAATGGAACTGCCTCAATATGCACAAGATCATTGGCATGGGCAAACCAACTGATGTCTTGATTTAAGCATATTCAAAAGAGATGCAGCTAAACTGAAACTAATAATTTGCTTCAATATTTATTTATAGGTTTCGATTCAAACAATGTAGTCTAACTTAATTTAAATTTGTTCTTACTTGGTAGTTTTTTTATAATTTTAGTTTTCTTTGTGGCTTGGGGTGGTGATGAAATTTATTTTGCTCCAATAGCCAAATAATGTGTTGTTTTTACTGTTATAAGGTTTTCAATGAAACACTGATTGTGAGATTAATTTCAATAACTTTTAGTTTTTTTGTACAAGCATTTGTACACAATAGGATGCATTTTCTGGAAAGTTTGGAGAGGCCAAAAGAGTTAGACAAAGTCTATGATTTTATTTCTAAAGTGCTCCTTATTCCGCCACAAGTTTTCATGGACGTGTACATTAACGTGACTCCAAAATAATTTTATTGCAACTCCAGGAATTTTATAGATTTAAATGTTAGAATTAGGTACTTATATCTCAAAACCTTTCTAAAACTATTATGTGTATTGACTAGATCTCTTTTTGTATACAAATATGCTTTATATTACTTATTTTTACATTTGCTTGTAAGTACATTTCATGTACACACAAACCTGATGTCCTATTTTTTAACAACCTGCTTTATGAGATATTGAATTGATGAATTTAAGTACTATGATAATAAATAATTTTAATATTTTAATTTTCTCAACACTAGAGAAAGCATATTTGAAATGTTAACACCCCTCATGGAAGAGTGGCATAAGTGGAGTTACGTCAAAAATGTTTATTGCTCCATTAGATACAGAAAAATATAACCCACATCTTCTCCAATTCTTGTAACTCTACAGTAGAGTTAAAAGAATTGGAGAGGATGTGGTTAAAATATTTTTCTCTATCCACTGGAGCAATAAACATTTTTGACTTCACTTCCCTTACGCCACTCTCCCATTTGTTCAATTTTAAAATTTAAGGTAATGGAATGCAAATTTTGTTGTAAAATACTAGAATGTTAGCTCCAAGTGGTTATAATGGTACGTCACAATTATTTTAAGAATTGTAACATGTTAAATGTTTGCATCCCACCGTGTTTTAAGATTATTAATATTTTCATTTGAATCATGTCCCCTTTTTGTAATACTTTATTGTATTGCTTAATTTGACACTTGCATTTTCCTGCTGTGATCCTTATTATTTTAAATTTCAATCTAATGTTTGCCTTCCTTTTGTTTTTGTAAGCCTATGACTAAGCATCACTTACAATGTAATGAAAAAAAAGAAGACTTAATGAACTTGCCAAGCAAAACAGCCTTACAAAACTATCGTCCACTAGATAGGGTATGATAATATTGGATTTTATTAATTCTACCTTTGTACCCTAGTATAAGCATTGTATTAGCTATATTATTCAATTCTTAACACATAGTTTTTTATATGAATAACAAGAGAAGAGATGTAGCAATGAAATTGCGAAATGTTGCTGCTGCGAAATGAGAAAATTATTGGAAATATTTTTATATGTTGTTTATTAAAGTAAGCCATCTGTATCAGTGCAGAAAACACTGTTTATGTGAATCTAATAAAGTTAGTGATTTGTGAAATTGTTTATTTCATTTAAATAAGGTGACTGATGATCATGCAACAACCAGTAAGTGCCATTTTCCACTAAGCGAGTAGTCGCGGGCGGCTGGCTGCCGTCAATGGGTATGGTATAATGGTTGAGTCGCGCGCGGCCAGCTTAGTGGAAAATGCATGTAAATCCTTTAAATTAGACGCTTGTAGTTTTTAGTTCACTAAGTGACATTTTCCACCAAACGACCTGTCGCGAGCGACCGGTCGTAGTGCCTAGTTTTACTGCAAGGTCGCGGTTGCGTCATTGGGTATTATATTATGACTTATTCGGCCGCCCGCGACTTGCCGTATAGTGGAAAATGCGTGTTATTGTCACTGCAAAAGTAGCGCGCCCGTGTTACGACAGTGGCGCTGCAACTGCGCTTCTAAATATCGTATGAAAACTCGTAGCGCGACTGCATCGCCACAGTAATGCCACTGCAACGCTTCTATAAGCGTCTAATTTGTAAAGGCTTAATAACGGCTACGTAGATAAGCCGTGGATTGTTTGCAAGTAAAGCGTAATGAACGTAATGTATGTATGTAACGTACAAACTTTTTTACTTATATTTTATTTATTTATAAATTTAAATATTGTATTATGATTTCTTCAATTTATTAATTATAGTCAGCATGGTTTCATAATATTGAAAACGAGTAAATAAAATTCTTATGCTATGTACATACAAATTTCGTTACAAATTTGCTTCTGGTAATGTAAATTGACCCTGAGTCCACCATGGGTTAGTGTCATGACAGTTCATGGGGACCACATATGTTGGTGTGACTTATTTCACAACGCCCCTAGTGGTCACAGAGTTATAATTATTATTATATAATTTACTTTATTATTTACAAGTCGTGGTAGCTTAATGTTCTGACTCACTGCTTCTCAAGCAGAGAGTCGTGGGTTCGGATCCGGTTTCGCACCTCTGAATTTTGTCGGAGTTTATGTGCGAAATTTTATCATGAGCTACACATTGAAGAAGGTTCACAACCCTCGAAAATGGTGTGAAGTCCCCAACCCGCATTGGGTCAGCGTGGCGGACCATGGCCTAAACCCTCACCCAGAGGAGACCCGTGCCCAGCAGTCGGACGTACAAATGGGTTGATGATGATGATATTATTTACTTATGAGTAATCAATAATATGATGGATTACAATTGTTCCTTGTGGAACTACGTACGTGGAACTACTGGGTATACCTCCGATAAACACTACATATTATTTTTAACGTCAGTAAATCCTCGTGGATACCGGGCGAGCCCAAGGGTTATGTCGGACTCCTACCGACTAAAACATGAGGGTGTTCCCTCTCCTCACCATGTACTGGAGTCACGGGGGCGCTTTCGCATTACTTCGCGACTCCGGCGGTGAGCGGTTCGACTGGTAGTCGAACCCCGTCTTGCTTTCCGGGGAGAGATGTTACCTCCCCGTCAGCCGTCTTGAGAGGCGGACGTGGAACACGTACGCCGCCATCTCGGGTCTACCTGTAATGAGCGACAGTATCCCCTAAGACTGCCGTTCATGGGTCCACGCAGCCTCCTGCGACCCGTTCGCCTGCTTCGGATAGAAAGGGAGGTAGCTACATCCCTTTAGGCCTCCTTCTGCGACATTACTGGTTCGCAGAAGGACACCACCGCTTCCCACAACCTGTCTCTGCCGACCATAGCACGCACTAAAGATGGGAGGGAGAGGTCGCTGCCTACTGCTGCCAAGTCATGACGCGGTTCCACCCACGCTGGGCATTCTTCGACTGTGTGCCGAGGAGTATCCTCGAGACACACGCAATGGTGGCATTTCACCGTGTGCTCTCTTCCGGCTATTCGATACAGGTATTCCCGAAACAACCATGTCCCGAGAGCACCTGCGTAAGCCGGAAGGTAAGTGTACCGTGTCGTCTCTCTAGCCATTTATTTAAGACTGGTAGAATCGCCTCAATGGTTTTGTGGCCGGCACTGGGGAATAAACACACGCCAACTTAATTTTTAGTTTTTGTTTCTTTATTTTTTTCTACAAAATTCGAAGAGCATAATATTAGTAAATAAATATGGCTGTTTACAAAAATAATACTATACCATAAAATAAAGTTGGCGTTATGTTCATAGGTCTAAGGTCGTATTGATCTAAGCTGTCGACTTAAGTGCGCCATCAGACAACAGGAGCAGGTGAAGCTTCTTAGATATTTTAAGCCTGAAAACGCGCCAGTGAGCACGGATCTTGACTTATGATGCTACAAAGACGTCCATCAACATGGAAAACTAATGGTGGTTTGCTACAGAGATAGGTGTTACCATAATTATTCAGTATGTAAGGTTATTCATTAATCAAAGTAGTGGCTGTTGCTATGATGTGTTTGGATGCAAATTGAAAAGTTTTTGAAGGTCCATTTCAGTGCCAAGGTCATTTTAGATACCATGATCATTTTTACACTTGGGTCATTGGTCCCCGAAAGGATTTCAGCGAATAAAATGTATATTTTTGTTAAATATTTATTTATTTATCAAACAAAACACAATTAGAAAAGAAAAAAGCATGAATGAGACTAGGTTGCTGACGGGTACATGGTACACTTGCAAAATGCGTTAAAAGCGTAAGTATCTTCTGTCCTTGTTATTTCCGATTTGACAGAATAACATAGAAGGAGAGAATAGCGCATTCGGTAGTCTTCAAACTAGTTGTGAGCCTTCTGCAATTTTGCTATGAGAGATTGTAGAGATCGTTTGCCAGGGTTGAATCCTCCTCCAGTTAAGAAGTCGTCGTCTTTACCTATGCAATAAAGATGATTAAATGATTAGCAACGAACTTTCGAGTTTTGGACAGCGCAGCGGCAGAATAGTTTTCAAACAAATTAAATGACATTTCGTCTCTATTTCTGGTTATATACTCGATGGATGAATCACACTTGAGGTTGCAGCGTGTACCTACTCGTTTGCAACTCAGTCTTCATTCACAAATATAGAATAAAATATGGAAATTCATAATATTTCAGTTTTTTCTGATCTTTATTTGATTTCCATTAAACAAAAACTTACCAGATCCACCGATTTGATCATTGGTGCATCCATCGTCCCACAAGTTGACACAGCGCTTGCCAGGATTAAAGTTACCACCTAGGTAGTCGTCGTCATTTCCTAAAGCAAGGGAGTGTTTTGGTTAGGCTTCCGAACTTCGATGTCCGTCTACATACATGACATACGTGTTACACAATTGTGAACATATCTAAATGGGGCTAAGTGAAAGAATTATGGAAATAAGTTAGTATGCAATATTTATTTATGAATAACCCTTTCCGTAGTTTGTACCTAATGAATTATTATTTATCTTTGTTATTATTATTGAAAAGGATAGCCGTTTATTAATGATTATTATTTTAATAATATAGATTTATGAAACACAAATCTTGGGTTGAAATGATTATTTCATAAATAAAAATTTAACAGAACGTTAAATAAAAGAGCAATAAATGAGAGACTGGAGTCCGGACTTGGCACTAGATCTGTATATAGCTCTCTATTAATCAGTATTATTGTTATTTTATATGTAAATAAATTGAAATGCTACATTATTGTATTGGGACAATCAAGTAAAAATAACCATGATGTTATTACTTTTTAAATACTCCACTAGTTTGGTGTTATTATTCATGCAAAGATCGAAAAAACACGAAGAAAAATTCCTTCGATCCGGTTGGATTTCACCCACCGGCTGTTTACTCGACCGGGTCTAACCGCTCTACCAACTGGTCTACTGTACGAGTCCACAGACCTTACGTATTTCTTTATGTACTTGTTGCCAATTTTTGTTCATGGTTTATTGGCAAACAGTCGCTGGTCCGAATGCAGCCGTATCGAAGCAATTTTTCTTTGAGTTTGTTCCATTTTTATGTCAATAATAAGACCATAATTTAGTATGGTTTTTATAGAAATCTATGACATTTCAGTGTTATGTTTTTCATTAACTATCGAAAACTTACCAGCTCCAGGGAGTTGTCCGTTGTTGCAACCTTCGTCCCACAAGTTGACACAGCGCTTGCCAGGGTTGAAGCCGCCGCCTAAGTAGCTATCATCATTTCCTAAAACAATTGAGTGTGTACGAACAAGTGAGTAGCGCTACAGCTCCTTGTGAAAGAGTTCATCCATGGAAGTACTGCCACCTTACCTATTTCTGCCGCCAAGCAGTAATGTCAGCATTACTGTGTTCCGGTTTTGAATAGTAAGGGTGCTGGTGAAATTACAGGCACATGGGACTTGTCAACTCATGTCTCAGGGTGACGGGCGCAGTGGAAATGCCCCTCAGATCTCTGCGACTTGAACTGTCATGGACAGGCGTGTAGCTTACCACCAGGAACGACTTGTTCGTACCGTCACTTGATATTATAAAAAAAGTATTCTCAGAGGCTTTGGTGCCCACCTACAGGTGGGCACCAAACTTACTAAACAAGCCAGCCATAACATACATGTTATGGCTGGTTTGTTTAGTAAGTACTATAGCTATGAACTTAAAAAAATTGGCTATGTAAAAGAATTTTTTCAAGAAAGGTTTACTGTACACATGAAGTTTGGTTCAGTGATCATGGAATTAACCCTGAATCTTGCCAGCAATGACACTCATTGATGCCGTTACCGGTGCGACGTGCTCAGCGCTTCGAGGATGCCGCTCTCTTACGCATGATGCCGGCAAACCCATCTACATGTGCATCGTTGAACATTCCCGACGCACTACATAATTGCGGTTGCCACAAGAACATCTTAAATGCGTATTGTTGTACACAACTATTATTATAGAATTAAGAGCTGAGCCTTAAGCTGCAGGCGTAAAAAGGTCTGATAATAAGCATTAAAACTATAACTTAGTATGGTTTTTATGGAAATCTATGATATTTCAGTCTTATGTTAGTTTTTCGTAAGCCATCAAAAACTTACCGGCTCCAGGGAGTTGTCCATTGTTGCAACCTTCGTCCCACAAGTTGACACAGCGCTTGCCAGGGTTGAAGCCGCCGCCTAAGAAGCTATCATCATTTCCTAGAACAAGGGACCGTTGTTAGAATTCTCAGAGGCTTTGGTTCCATCTATATGTCATGGTTGCTTTTTCCAGGAAGTACCTACTATAGCTATCGACTTAAAATTTGTCTTAAGGTGTGGCAGTAAGATTTAAATAGCGATATCTTTACTTTGTTAGTAGGTACACCTTGCAAACCTATCGACCTCCATATCAATAATAAAACCATACGTTAGTGTGAGATTACAGTTTTAGGTTTAGGAAAAACTTACCGGCTCCAGGGAGTTGTCCGTTGTTGCAACCTTCGTCCCACAAGTTGACACAGCGCTTGCCAGGGTTGAAGCCGCCGCCTAAGTAGCTATCATCATTTCCTAGAACAAGGGAGTGTGTTTAGAAATCTTAGAGACTTTGGTGTCCATTTGTATATACCTATGTATCTATATAATTCAAATATTTTGTATGTATGTATGTAAGCACTTTATTGTAGAACAAAATAAATTTTTAACAAAGACACAAAACGTTGCCTCCGTGGCCCAACGGTTACCATACCGGACTGCCACGCAGAGGTCCCCGGGTTCGATTCCCGGGCCGGGAGAAATATTTGTATGGCCTACATTTATTTCTCTCGTGAGTTTGGGTGTAATTTGTGGTTGTCTATGTGTGTGTCCATGGCACCCGCGACACAGGGTTTCCCTAGTGCGGGGCTATGTTGAGTGTGTGCGTTATTATTACTATTATATTATTATGTTATCACACAAAGGCGAGCTTATCCCATAAAGGCTTTTTGTCTGCCTAGGTCATTGACTTACAAATAAATGGACGACGGGTCTAATACAAAAACCACGAAAAAAATGTCCCAAGTCAACCTATTTAAACGTAGTGACATGTAAAGGAATATGAAAAAGCTAAAACGTTGAATTTAAATTGTAATGTCATCGCAGTACTGTCTAATTTTGCTTGCTTCGCTGTCAGTCGAACAAACGAAGACTAAAGCGTGAATGACGCTCTGTATACGGTTTTAACGCCCTATAAGTTCGGACACTTTTTAACGCGGACCCGACGTCCATATAATTGTAAGTGAATAGTCTAGGTCCATAAAAATCATGAAATTTAAGTTACATACTAAATAATTACAAGAATAAATTTATTTTATCAAATATACACACGAAAACATAATATTAAGTAATTGATGATATACTAATACATATAAAGTATATAGTAAAATGAATGTATAAAATAACACGAAAAATAAATATGTGAAATTTCTACAAATATATTCTATAATAATAATAATAATAATAACTCACACACTCAACATAGCCCCGCACTAGGGAAACCCTGTGTCGCGGGTGCCATGGACACACACATAGACAACCACAAATTACACCCAAACTCACGAGAGAAATAAATGTAGGAAATACAAATATTTCTCCCGGCCCGGGAATCGAACCCGGGGACCTCTGCGTGGCAGTCCGGTATGGTAACCGTTCGGCCACGGAGGCAGTTAAATTCTAAGCTCTAATATGAGGAGGCTGAATATTCATCCATATTGGTTGAAAAAAAAAACTTACACACTTACAAACAAGTCACACTCAAAGTGTATGGAGCGGTTAGGAGGTTTTGCAACCTATTGGTGGTGGTGTGGACTGTAAGATGCGGTTCTAGAAGAAGGTAAGGAGAGTCGGATTTACGGCGATAGCATCGAGAAAATAAAAAAGAATAGAAAATAGAATGATATATTATGAAGAAAAGCTGTGCACTACCTTGAACTCCTTGTTAGGGCCGTATACGGTGGAGGTGTACGTCACAGAAAAAATACGATGCTATGCTTAACTAATGAAATTAAAGTATCAAAAAAAAGCGGATATTGGTTGAAAGTTAAACATAGCCAACATAAATTATATGGGAAATGTAAACTGTAGTAATTCATGTGTGGCGTTACCAGTGTAGGAGCTGGTAGGTAGCTGTAAAGGTATCTAACTTGGTGACGAAATACTTAAGATTTCTCATAGATGCCGCTACGGCTAAAAAATCGTTGAAAAAACCAAATACAAAGATACGACAACAAACACATAGAAATTTCGTGAGATCCGCTGGTTCGTTCCGTGGCTATAAGTGCAGGGTGCATTTTTTTCAGATTAAAGCGGGTTCGATTCCCGCGTGTTGCTAGAAATTTTCGAAAATCTATGAATGCCGTCTTATTTCTTTAAAAAAATAAAGGAATGTTTCCTTTAAGTAAAAATTTCTATCTCCAGTATTTAGAGTACTTTCCCTCCTGGTGGCATTACAAATTTCCACCTGGTATATATAAATAAAGCTAATATAAAGCTATAAGTTCTTTCCCACTGATAGAAATAGAACGCTTACTTCCCGATATGGTGGAAAAAAGATATTTATACCGTTGTACGCGGATAGGATCCAAAGCAAATAATCAAATATGAAAGGATCTGAATATGGAAAATATGAAAGAGTGATCAACGGCCTGCAAAAACTATAACATACGGAGGGAGTAATTGTGCATTTTTATGAGGTACACCCTGGTCAATTTCCGCGGGAAGTAAAAAATGTTCGAAATTCAAATAAATAAGATGGCCGTCATACAAACTTCAAAGCCCCCTATCACGGAAACTATTAGAGATAGGTAGGTGCTCGAAGGAATATCATAGAAGGTAACTGCCTAGGTTAATAAAAATTCAAGATGTCGATTTAAAAATAATAATAATATAATAATAATATCGTTTATTAAAGACAACAAGGCCCACTTTGTATTAGTAAGAGACTTATAAACTATGTTAGTAAATTATTTCTAACTTAGATCTAGTACAATTTATGAGGTGCCTCATTAGAGGCCCCTCCACTCTATCAGCAATCATTTTGAGGATGCTGTTGCTACTGTTGCGAAGTCTGTTCAGCAGAGAAGCTGATTTCTTTCTTATGATTGCTGCGAAAGAATCCGTCCGCGCCTCAGCAAACATGGAAGAAGCGCTACAGAACTTCGGCAGACGCAACAGCATCCTAAAAGCATTGTTGTATTGGGTGCGGAGAGCAATGTACGACTTTTGCGTGTGCCTATTCCATAGGCTGCCCGCGTAAAAAGATGTACAATAGGCTTTGAAAAGAGTTACTTTAACTTCAACAGAGCATCGAGCAAACCTGTGAACCAGCATATTCGCTCTTACTGACAAAGCTCTCCGCTCCCTTTCCATATCATTATCATCTTTGAGATCAGGCCTAACGACATGTCCCAAATACTTAAAATTATGCACTCTGTCCAGAACAATCCCTTTTAGAGTGATCGGTGGAACATCCACAGGACATTTACGTCCTGCTGGAAAATGGCGGCCGAAGAAAAACTTGCTTCGATCCGGCTGAATTAAATGAATGACTGAAATAAATTGAAATTGGCATGCAAGGGTCTTTAGGAGTCCTTAATCATGATTTCAAAATTTCTAAAGTTTATTGTCGCTATTTTTTAATATGGCTGCCATATGAGTGTTCTTTTCTTTAAAAATAGCTGCCGAAAGAGATTGGCTCTGACTCGGCTGAAAATTGGATGCGAAGGCCTCTAGAAGAGCCGGATAATAATTAGTGCTCAAAATTTGTTTTTCGTCTTTTTCAAATATGGCCGTCATAGAAGCGTCCGTTGGCGGCAGAAAAAAAATTGCTCAGATCTATTTGAAAATTGGCTTATGGGGTTATCTAGGAGTGCTTGATAATAATTTGTGATCAAAATTGGTTTTGCGCCATTTTTGAACATGGCCGCCAAACAAGCGTTTATAAAAATTAGCTCTAATTCAACTGAAAATCGGTATGTGGGGGTCTCTACTGGTTTTTAATGATAATTAGCGGTCAAAATTTATTTTCTGCCTTTTTTCCAATATGGCTGCCATACAAACTTTTTTAGCGGCAGATAAAAATTGCTTTAATTCGATTGAAAATGGACATGTCTGGGTCTCTAGTAGTGTTTAATAATAATTAGCGGTCAAAATTTATTTTTCGCCGTTTTTCAATATGGCTGCCATACAAACTTTTTTGGTGGTAGATAATTTTTTTTTCTAATTCAACTGAAAATGGCTTCGGTTAAAAATTATGTTTCCGCCATTTTTCGAACCGTATTTTTTTATGTAAATGGATGTTGAAAAAACATGTTTTGCTTGGACTGAAAATTGGCACGAAAAGATTGCTCAGATTGTTTGATAAAAATTAGCGGTAAAGAACATATTTTTGCAATTTTTAAATATGGCCGCCATTAAAGAGTTATTTTAATTTTGTAAAACAAAGTGATAAGTGCCGAGGCCGTAGGCCGAGGTCTGCGGAGGGCGAAGCCCGAAGCGTGTGCATGCTATCGCGATGGAGATAATATTCGGAGGCGTAATAAATTACGAGTATAGGATCTCACAATTGTAAAAATGTAAGGCATACTTCCCGATGTAGTGGAAATGAGGTACTTATTATAGCGTTGTTGTATCTCGATTGTCTCTCTGTTAGATTCCATTTTCTTGAAAGCGATGCCAACGAGAAGTATTTAGGGGGAAAAAATGCCAAACTGCTGCCGAATTTCCTGTACTATGAATATTGAAACAACGATAACCCAGAATACTCAGACCAAAACCAACTTACAAATTTAATGTTCGTTTCTTAAATTGGCCCAAATCGGGAATCGAACTCCTCATCAAGCGCCGGTAGTACTAACTGCAGTGCCATCGAGGAGCTTGAGCACACCCCGTAAACTGAACCCGACCTCGCGCCGCAGGCCGAGCCCGATCCCACCGTAGGTGGGGTACAGGCCTCGTTAATAATAAAAATCTATGAGATTCAATCTTAGTTTTTCATAAGCCATCGAAAACTTACCGGCTCCAGGGAGTTGTCCGTTGTTGCAACCTTCGTCCCACAAGTTGGCACATCGCGTTTGTCCATCTGGAAACAGTAAATTTATTTAATATTCTGCTAAGCTTTACATATAGGGTCGACTTACAGCCTACTACAAGCGCAATATGAGCTAACAAAAATTGCTATACTGTGTACTGTTCTAAATAGACTACGGCACATGTCTCTACCGGTAGTGAGTTTAGGTCATAAGCAAGAAGTTCACAAACCACACTGGCGGAATGCGGTTTGTGGTCTTCAGTTGCTTGTAACCAGATATGAACCAGGTAACTGTTGTCTACGAAGTTACCTGGTATCTACGAAGAATTATATTACAATTCTTCGTAGATACCAGGTAACTAATGACACTGGAAAGGTAAAATGTTTAACGTGCTTTTGGAAAATATTACAGGAGAGCGATTTAAAAAATTTTTTTCAAAGAAAGATCATAACTCAAATTTTTCTTGCTATATGGAAGAGTAGAAAATTTCAGGCTTTTCCATATAACAAATAAAATTTGACATTTTAAATGGCTCTCCTGTAATATTTTCCAAATGCACGTGACAGGTTTTGAATTTCCAGCGTCGATATGAACCATGAACTTGATTTTAAAATAAAAGAGAAATATGACTAAGGCATATTACCATACGCCTTAGGCATATTCCTCTTTTACTTTAAAATGTTGATTACCATCAAACGCCAAAGCTGCTTATTATGTACGCAAAATTTGTTTAGAAATTATGATTATTACAGAGTCAAGGAAGTTTAGTTGTCGCACAAGCAATTCAAGATAGCCCTTGAATTACATATTGAATTACAATTACATAATAATACGGTAAAACTTACTGTGGAAGCGAGGACGCGCTATTAAAGACTTGCAGTAAACCAAAGAAACAAAGCAGCACAATACAATGAACGATTTCATTTTATAAATTAATCCAACTATTAGGAATTGTCAAAGTAAAAATGTGGATTGAATTGAATGACTTCGTCACGAATTTACTCTAGCTTTTATAGATCTGTTAAGTGCCCTGTGCTTAATTAAAGGTATTTTTATCAAGTCACACTTATGATAGGATTTATTACTAATGAAATTTTGATAAATCATAATAAATACTTGAATGGTGAAAGGTATTATTACGGGATTATTGAAAGGTATTTATATAGATAACAGTTTGAAATACTATAGGAATAATTATCGAATATATTGGGTTGATCAAAGAGTCCGTGCCGTATTAAAGGATGGACATTTAAAAAAAATTACATCTATGTATCTTTTGACATCTTTCGGGTAATTTCCAGTTGCACCGGCTTGCCTAAAATTTTCCACGTATTATCTAACACATAATTTAAGTACAACATATCGTAGGTACTCCATTTAAGTGTAGAATAACTTAATCAGTTGAAAGGTACTAAGTATATTGTATATTGTGTGCTCATAAGTGTGGTGCTTAAGTGTCGCAAGGCGCCTTTTTAAAGAGGTAAAAGAAGTATTTCGTTAAGGTAGGTGTTTTTTTATTTGGGCCGGCTTTACTAACGACTGTTTTCACGCCTCGCCACTGTTAATTTTAGAATTCCTCTTTCATAAACCTAAATGCAATAGTATTTGACGACTACGTATTTGTAAAGATGTATGTAGTTTGGCATTATCAAGATGAAATACGATAGCTGTATAGTCCACCAGTTCTGGATGTTTGTTAGGAATTATAAACTAAAACATTCCCGCCTATTCATAAAATTCGCGCTAAAATATTATTATTATTTTTTTAATTTATTAAGGCTTTGGCAAAGCCATCAGCGTAAACATGAAGTTTAAATATGTTTCTGTAAATATGGCCGCCACAAAGAGGATAGGCAATTTGAGGCGCCGTGCTTGGATTGACTCGGGATTCCTTAAAACGGGCCGATACGGGTATTTTATTTCGAGATTCGTATAATTTCGCGTTTTAATCTTCGATTAAGGCACAATAGCACTATCCTATTCCACTTTAAACTAGATTTCACAAAATAATTGAAAGGCAAAATAAAAACGACACTTTTCCCTCCAAAAGGTCCAGAGCGAATCGCTAAAATATTACTTTTAAAATGACCACAGATATTATAAAAAAATTGAAATGAAAATAGTTATTTTCATGCTTCAAATTAGGCAGTGAAAAAAATGGCAGTTTTTGTAGTTACGGTTATTCCAAAAATTAATTTTTAGTTTAAGTATTATTACGTTTTGAGCTTATAAATTATTTATTACATTTTTAAGCTGAAGGCTCTGTAGCCAATGCTCCACAAATAAATAATAATAGTTAGTTAGTGGCCAAACCATTATTTTTACCTGGGTCAATAGATCACTTTGAAAACAGGAAATGGGGGCCAATATATTTGTTGACCACGCGCGAAGAAGACGAATATAGTTTGTTGGAGGAAAGATTAGAGGAAACATCCTATCTCCGTAAAGCGTAATCTTCGGCGACACGGATGTACTGCCCCTCTTTCCCTACGGTGCGCAAACTAGGTCATCTGTAGACACTTATAAGTCCAAACAGGAATGGAGTACAGTATTCTTAGAATCACGAGGACCAGGGAAGGAAAATCACTGTGTGGGACGTTTTCCTTTAAATAGCTAACATTAGCATGAAGCACAATTTTCGTCCACTATAAATTGCCTAAGATGAATATGGAGTTTATCTATTCTGGTTTTAGTTTGTTTCAAAACCTCCTTTTTTCTTATAATACTTTGTCCTTTTGTTTTTTTTAATTCGATTTACCAGTTCCTTCACTCTCTTTTTATAATTTCTGTAGGTACCCTCGTAATTTCCTAATGCAATTTACTCCACACAATCTTTGCTTAAGTTTAGCAGATAACCAATCTAATTACGCTTTCTTTTTGTTTTGATGTCCTCTCTAACTTCTGTCATTATTTACATGAGGGATACCCTAGGGCTGCAATGACTGGGGCTGATCTTCTTGGGAAAAATGTGTAGTGCTGTGGAAAAAGTCATGGAAAGGCTAACATATTGGCTAGGCAGAATACATCGAATAACAAATCAAATATTTCGTAGGTAAAAATGTTATTATGTAAGAAATTAAGATTGGAAGGCATTTAAGATTTCATTTTCTTATATTTGGAGCCCTGTATCCAGCAGTGGGGATACGTATAGGCTAACTATTATTATTATTTTTGAAATTTTTATAAGTCACTTACGTCTTCTCCTATTGGTGTAAGGGTTAGTAGGCAACCCTCCCTACTAACCCTTAGACCCATACGAGAATACATTAGAGTTTAGAGAATACAGTTCTACATAAGTTTTGTTTATAGACAAAACTTATGTAGAACTTATGTATTACAAGAATCTTTACAAATAGTAATAAATATTACATTTCAAAAAATTACAAATATCTAGTACAAGTTTTGTACTATGTCATTTTTACATAGTTAATGTGTTATATGAAATAATGTAGGAACGTATTAAATAATATAATAATAATTATGTGAAAATAGTGATTGAATGTGTTAATTTTATATAATTTATCTATTTCTGTAAAATAATATGTAGAATATGAGGTAAAATAATATTTATTTATATATTACAAGATTTGTAGGGCTGGCACGATAGGGCGCGACTAGCGCGAGAGCGACATAAAGCGCGAGATACTGCTATTCTCGCATAGGAATGTCGTGATTTATGTCGCTCATGTGTAAGTCGCGCCTTATCGTGCTAGCCCTACATGTCCCTATATTCGTCAATAGAATAATACGCGTTATCTAACAAAATGTATTTCAGTCCAATCCAATGTTTCATCATAAGGCTCGTTTCGACGCACGCACGGACGCACGGATGGACGGACGCACGGGCGCACGGACGCACGGACGAACGGACGCACCGACACATTGACGGATGGACTGACGGACGGACAGACAGAGAGAGAGAGACAGAGAGAGACAGAGAGAGAGAGAGAGAGAGAGAGACAGAGAGAGACAGAGAGAGAGAGAGACAGACAGACAGACACACGCACACACGCAAGCATGCACATCATCTATTTTTAATTTTAAGGAGCCAACTTATAAACATCAGCACTTACTTAAGTAACTGTACCGGTCTGGAAGAGCGGTAGCTACTGACTCAAGTATTTTCATACTTGAAAGAACTTCACCAGCTACGGTTTAAATTATGTAACCCAGTTTAAGTCAATATTTTTTTAATTTATTTATGTACAGTAACTAGCAAAAAATAACATAATAATAGCAAATGAAAGGTGGTATTTAAAAAAGAAAAATCTGTGCTATGAGTACCAGCAATCTTTCCAATTAAAATATACAATTTGAACCACAGACATATTTTTTTTAGGTAAATGACGCACGGCGCGGTGTACAACACTTCAATTAACATTGTCGACAGATTATAATTATATTTCTTTATCGACCCACTTAAAGATATACAATTGCTTTTTGAAAATTAAAAGTCAAATTTGAATACGAGTCATATGTACGTGGAGTACATATAAGGTTAAATAAATAAATAAATAAAAAATCATTTATTTCAGTCAATATACAGTCCATTTAGTTAGTACACTTACAAGCTATTATTATATATTCTACTGTTAGTACAAAAGATACAAACATTCTATTTCTCAACTCTTCACAGTATTTTTATGTTGGATCGCCTTGCTTAAAATTATGGATGTGTGGTAAGCACAGAGGCCCCGCTAAATTAACAACTTGTTGAGCCGGTGTAATCATCATTCACATCTGAACAACACCAGCCGGCGGTACTCCTACACTGCATTCTACTACAACAACTCGTGACTTGAATTGTGTTTTAAATTCTATTAGTATGTGACCTTTGTGATCATTAGACAACAATTACTTATCGTAGTTTAACTTGATTGTTTGTGTACATCACGGTAAGCAAAATTTCTTGTACTAACATTCAAAGTTCTATCTTTATCGGGATATTTAAACATTAGTACCAATATAACCTTGTAATACTTAGCAAAGAACAATGGGAAAAGCGCTAAATGCCCAGCATACATTAAATCTATATGCTACATACTCTGCTAGTTTTGTGTGAAAAACTTTTTTAACTCTATTTATAAGGGCTTTGATCATTATTTGATCAAGAAAACACAATAAAATCTAGACAGATAAATAAAATACTATCTAACCTAAAACATGTGTAAACAAAACCTTAAAAAAATACATGGTTCTGAATCAAATACGAACATCCGCAGCAAGCACATAGAAAAGTTCGTAAGGTCGCTGGAACGTTGTGTATTTCACAAAGTTAATTGAATATGATGGTGGTCAAAACACAGTGCCAATAACTTAAAAATGTATACAAAATCGTTGCATTTTTCTAGATACCCCATGCTTTGAATGCGACGTTTTCTTTGTAATGTTTAACACTGGGCGTTTATATGATCATAGAAATAATTAACTGGGTTTGAATCACTTTATACATTGTGTATATTTTGATGTATACATGGGACCTCATGAGGTTGAATATCAGTCAGTTTTATGGCACATATCAATACCTAAATAATGCTAGAATTATACAAGATCTCTGTGCTCTTTTATTAGATTTATATTTATTTAATAAACAAATATTAGTACTTTGAATGACGTAAGATGTAGTGAAAATGGCGTTTAAGTCAATATAAATAGGAATTCCCAACATGCATCTTAATGAACAGGACAACGTATAGCTGTTGCATTATTACAACATGCAACAATTTTACTTGTTACCTTCTCGTCTCCATATTGACCGCTATAAAATGTCAAGGCAGGGCATTTCATCATCATTTAATTTTTATTTCATTCAGATAGCGGTAGCGTGGTGGTTTATTAATAATTTACACTGTTCGCAGTGACACAAAATGGCCAAGACTGTGCTAATGATATTGTTGACAATTATACTCGGACTCGATTTTGGTGCTGCATACAAGATTCTCGTTGTTTTCCCGTTCCCGAGCTCGAGTCACGGAATTCTGGGAGATGGATTTGTGAGACATCTTTTAGGCGCCGGACATGAGGTTTGTACAAAGAACTCACATATAACATTAAAAATCATAAATTAGTAAGAAGTACCACAGCACAGTGGTTCGTCCAAATGCGAGACTTTGGATATAGACTCCTTAAAATCAAATGACAACAGTAAAAAACGAATGACAACTGTGTTCTATTATTAAAAGTGGTGTTGATAACGTAAGTGGTCTTAGAACACACTTGTGAAGATTACAGTTTGTAGACTTATAGTCTCACTAAAATGTAAATATGACGCAAAAGAAAAAGACGGTCATGAGTGATAGATCCTTGTATTTCCAAGACAACAGTGAGTGGTAGTACAGTGCGACGGAACAATCAACTGTAAACTGAAATTTGAGATCCGAAATTACCGCGAACTATTTTAACGTAAAAACATTGACTTACAATTATATGGACGTCGGGTCCGCGCTAAAAAGTGTCCGAACTTATAGGGCGTTAAAATCGTATACAGAGCGTCATTCACGCTTTAGTCTTCGTTTGTTCGACTGACAGCGAAGCAAGCAAAATTAGACAGTACTGCGATGACATTACAATTTAAATCTAACGTTTTAGCTTTTTCATATTCCTTGACATGTCACTACGTTTAAATAGGTTGACTTGGGACATTTTTTTCGTGGTGTTTGTATTAGACCCGTCGTCCATTTATTTGCAAGTCAATGCGTAAAAATGTCATATTTATCACGACGATTTGGACGAACTTCATGGTCGAGGGCTGGCACACCGAATTTCATGGTGTCGCCATTTCTGAGGTCAATGTAGTAATACTAGATTCTGTTAAATATTGTCCCGGGTCCTGGTGTTTGTGTTACCGTCATCGATTTGTCGTGAACTTTTATATTATTTTTGCCGTGTTTTTGTTTCGTATTACCTTTTAATGTATTAATTGCTAGTGAATGTACCTATACAGTGAATTATATGTTTTTGCTATTGCGTTTCTATTATTTCATTTCTGTGCACAATACAATGGTAAATGTTATACAAAATTGCAAAAATGACGCTATTAAAACAAATTTGGCGATTATATAACTAATTCTTAGATAAAAAATATATAACATGTTAATCGATGAGATAATAGGTGACAAGCATGACGGTCACCGGGCAATTATTTTGTCAATTTGAAAGTTATAAAAATGTTGGCAATTATTTCGACAAAAAAGAAAAGTAAAAACAAACTCGAATTTGATGTCGAAACCACGTAACATGTCGCCTAGTAAATGAAATGATCTCAAATTATCCCTAAAGAAAGAAACGCGATACTTAGGGCCAGAGCAAACTGGCAGATGGGAAGGTACAAAATATTAAATTTATCAATGAGTATTTTAAGAGCTGTAGAACCCCTTGTGAAGAGTTCGTCCAGGGTGTACTGCCACCTTGTCTATTACTGCCGCCAAGCAGTAATGTGAGCATTACGCTGTTACGGTTTTGAAGGATAAGGCCAAATTCGCACCGGCCCGGCGAATTTGCCGGGGCGGTAAAACTCCCAGCTGTACAATTTATATGAACCTATTCACATTACGCCGGACCCGACAGAACGCCCGGACCGGAGTAATGTGAATGACGACACAAGTAATACCAATAAGTCATCAAAACAGGATGCTGTCATTCGAAAATAATTGAAGAGCTTTCACTCATCACTTCTCATTGGCCCATTAAAAATCTTTCCCGTAGAACAGGATGTACCCAATGTTTTCTCTTTACTCTATTAAGTTTTTTTTTTTATAATATCAAGTGACGGGACGAACAAGTCGTGCGCCTGATGGAAAGCTACACGCCTGTCCATAACACTAGCAGTGCTACTCAGAGCTATCGCACTGGGCACTGCGACTGCGCCCGTCACCCCTCAGGGTGACGTCTCAACGTAAGTTGACAAGTCTCATGTGCCTGTAATTTCACCAGCACCCTTACCCTTCAAAACCAGAACACAGTAATGCTGATATTACTGCTTGGCGGCAGAAATAGGTAAGGTGGCATAGGTAAGTGACTTCCTTCGACGAACTCTTTCACAATGAGCTCTACGGCTACTAAAGTCTGCTACTAAGCCTTCTAAGATACCACCACAACACCACAATTTCGTCGTATATAGTGAGCAATAGAGGGAATTAGGCCTAAGGGTGCTGATCAAATTACAGGCACATGGGATTTGTCAATGGTATACAATAATAGAAACCCTTCTTTACTAGCCGTTGCACCTAGCGGCATAACTGGTAATCGCCAAATTAAAATATTAATGCATTTATACTTTTAAAATAAATAAGGTTACGGTGCCAGTGACCGACAAGCGCCAGTGCTCCACATCTGTTTAAAATTCATTTCTAATAAAATTTAGGACAAAATTTTTTATCATAGTAACTAACACATTTATTATTGACGATACGGGTATTCATTATTGGGAATGTCGATTACTGGTTAGTTTAAATAGTGGATTTTTGGTGTTCATTATTGGAGATTTAGAAAAATTCTTGTTTAGGTTTTTTTTAGTAGTTATTATAATAGCTTTTTTATGCAAAATACTACACAGCGTAATTTTTCTTGAGGATTATATCTATCAAGTAGACTAATCACTGTTGATACATGTTTCAAAGTAAAAATTTATTTCAAATTTAAAAACATACTTCCCTTTAAATGTCGATCATTGGTGCCATTTACCTATGTCTAATTGCATCCTACGACTTCAGTATTTATAATACAATGTATGATTTCAGTATTTAATAACTGACTAATTAAATAATTATAATTGAAAGTTATGACATGACTAATTGTATATTAGTAGAATATGAAGCTTCGGAAGGAACAACTCGCGCCTTCTAGCGGCACACGTGATAATTACGAAGTAAAAATCAGTATGAACAAAAAGAACAACCTATTAATGTTATGAAATTGCTTAATTACTTAGATTACGTACATAAACTAAAAGTTACAATTAATTTAATATTTAAATTAATAATTTAATTACGATGAAATGCGATTGATGGTTATTTAATGTTGTTCACATATTCATAGTCATAAAAAGATTGAATTATAATAACAAGGCTACATTTTTGTTACAAAGATCCAATGGCCACATTGTATTAGAACTTTATATTTTAAAAAAGCTTGATTTCAATAGGAAATGAAACTATTTTTCCGGATTTAAATCGCGTATATTTGTTTTTTCAAACAAACCAACGTTTCGGGCCATTTACGGGTCACATGGTCACGGTTGACTGAGGTGGTACAGTTTTCAACCAGTTATGTCTAATATTGATGCAAACCACCTTATTTTTTCCATTATAGTTACAGTAGTTATTAATTAAATACCTTATTTTTAATTTTACAAAAAAAACATTCCAATTTACGCTACATTAAGTTTTACAAATTATTTTATTGAATGAATTTTTATTAATTTAAATTTATTATTAATCAATAATAGAAATTAGAATAAACTAAAACATATTAATCAGTACTGCAGTCTTATGTCTGTTTGGGATTTTTCATTAGAGGAAATACTGGATCCCAAACTGGTGGTACGGAGAAACCATCTTCCCTGTTGAAATTAGGATGTTTTATAATTAAATCTTCAAACTACAACGTTTCAAGTTCTTTACAGGTCCCATGATCACGGTTGACTGTGATGGTAAACTCGTCAACCAGTTATGTCTAACATTAATGAAAACCACCCTAATCTGAACTATACTTACAGAAATTATCACATTATTTTTAATTCATCAAAGAACAATCCAATTCATTACTCGACATTTTAACAAAATATATTAACAATGAATTTTTTACAATGTTTCGTTAATTTTATTAATCATTCAGTAATTGTGAGTGGCCAGCACCATTTTCCGATTTTGCTTCTACATGAAACTAAGTCAAGCAGTATAAAAAAAATTCATTAATTTTATGCATTTTGTATTGAAAACATTTGGTTAAATTACATCAACTTCTGCTGTATCTATTTTTTCTTCCGATGTAATGAAATGATCCCTACAAGATACTGATACCGACCCACATTAAACGCATTAAAAGCACATTAAAAGTAAATTTTATTCATTTTTATTGACAATGCACGCTTGACCAAAAAATTTACAATGCCACAAAAAAAGACTTAATGGTTTCGAATACAGTTTCCCTATTCAAATTCAAATTCAAATTCAAAATAATCTTTATTTTATAGGTAAGCATTATTACACTTGAAATCGTCGCAATGGTTAAACTCTACCGCTCATTCGTAAGGCAGATTCCCCTGAGAAGAATGAGCAAGAAACTCTAGAGGTTGCTCTTTGTAAATAACATTTACAATTTATTTTTTTTATTTGAAACATCAGAGATCGAGACTACCTCCATGAGCCTTATCTTCTATAGTTTCGGATTTCTCCATACTGTCTCACTTACAAAACACACTGTGTAGCTAAATTTTCTTTCAATAATGTGTAAATACACTATAACCATGCCGTTCAATTATTCGCAAACTAATACATAACTCAAGATGACTACTTATCGCGGCACAAGGCACAAGACAGCGTAGACGGGTATTTAGTACCTGTTGCTATACCAGATGTCGCGACGTGTACCAAATAGCTATTTTTGTAACTAATTTGTTTTACATTGACAAGCTGCAGTTAGTCAAAATTATATAGTGCATTAACTCAAAAAGTGCAAAACGAATTACCAACTTCCCGTGAAAGGTTATTAAAATTTATGTGTATGTTAAAATTTATTAAAGATTGATTTGATTTTCTATTTGCCAAAATATTCTAACGATGGTTTTGTTCACATGTAGAAAGTCAAATTTTACATCTAGAAATCCATTGACTTACAAATAAATGAACGACGGGTCAAATACAAAAACCACGAAAAAAATGTCCCAAGTCAACCTATTTAAACGTAGTGACATGTAAAGGAATATGAAAAAGCTAAAACGTTGAATTTAAATTGTAATGTCATCGCAGTACTGTCTAATTTTGCTTGCTTCGCTGTCAATCGAACAAACGAAGACTAAAGCGTGAATGACGCTCTGTATACGATTTTAACGCCCTATAAGTTCGGTCACTTTTTAGCGCGGACCCGACGTCCATATAATTGTAAGTCAATGTAGAAATCGTATAATTTTGATCCTCACATATTTACAGCATTTGTAATAGCAGTGCGATATTATAATTTGAATGAATACCGTAGAGTGGTGAAATCATTGTCCTATTGAAGGTCAATGGGTAAAATAAAGATAAAACACACGGCATACTGACTTACACATAGGTACCTATTAAATCTTTTTTCGTTTTACAATAATTTTGCAGGTAACATACATTACTCCATTTGTGAAGGACAAGCCTCATCCCAACCTTCGGCAAATCGACGTTAAAGCAGAAAAAAAGCATTTTCCAAGTAAGTTCTTAAGTAGGTTGTTTAAATAAGTGCGAATAGAAAATGCTAAACGCTTGCTTTTATTATTCGTATTGCCGAATCGTTTATTGTTTCAAAACAGTTTTCTTTTGCATGAACAAAAGCTTTTTCTAACCGGCTCAAGCTGATTCCGTGTAAACACGTGTAATGGGCCTCTTAATGAAGAAATCAGATTATGTATTATTATATTATATACATTATTTTTGCAGATGTATTGAACATTACTGAAATTTTGAATAACAAAACGCCGCTACAAGATATTAACTTCATTTTTGGAATGATGCTCAATCTCTCCCGGAACATTCTTCATAATGAGAACGTCCAGCGATTAATTGATGATCCGAGTCAGCATTTCGATTTGGTAATAGGAGAATGGATGTTCTCGACTGCGTATTGCGGGTAAAACATAAATTTTTCTTAATTACTTACCTACAAATAACTTTGTAATAGTTTTCGCATTTCCTTTTCATTAAGCCGTGTTTACATTTGTCTGACGTGTCGTGTTGTTACGCGCCAGAACGGCATCGGCTTCAAACATTTAATATGGTTAGATTTATGTTAGTGTGTCACAATCGGACGTAACGACTTGTGCCGTGTGTATGAAACCGATACCGTTAGACAAATGTAAATTCGTCTTTAGACAACATTCAACTCAAAGGAGCTGATGTTACAATCATTGACTTACAAATAAATGGACGACGGGTCTAATACAAAAATCACGAAAAAAATGTCCCAAGTCGACCTACTTAAACGTAGTGACATGTAAAGGAATATGAAAAAGCTAAAACGTTAGATTTAAATTGTAATGTCATCGCAGTACTGTCTAATTTTGCTTGCTTCGCTGTCAGTGAATGACGCTCTGTATACGATTTTAACGCCCTATAAGTTCGGACACTTTTTAGCGCGGACCCGACGTCCATATAATTGTAAGTCAATGGTTACAATAAACAAAGGCTGACAATGCTTAATGTCGTTAATCCTTGTGAGAGACTGCCGTCTATACTAGGCAATGGAAATGTTGCAGCCTAAGCACACCAGACACTCTCTCCGGCTAGTCCTAAATAAACATAAAACAACTATTGGTGATGGCAAATGGTATGATTGAATGTTGTGTTTTAATGTACCTTTATAGTGTTAAATAATAAAATAATGTGTTTTGTTGTGTGTATGCGTTCTTGCGTGCGTGCAATAGCGAAATATTATACGAGAATATAGAACATGAACATCAAACGGAGAAATCAAATTTTCAAACGTATAAAAGGTCGCTTTTTCAAAACTAATTTCCAGAAATTTTAATTGCCAATTCCCGAACGCTAGAATTTTTCTGCAATCATATTGGCTGAGTATATAAATATTTTTTTTTTTAATACAGAGGAATTGTATAGAATACGAGCCCTATATCCTACGGCGGGGTCGGGCGTGGTCGATTTCAGATTACGGGATATGCTCTTCGGTGGCACACTGATTATTACTATGGGCGCTTGATGAGGAGGTTCTAGATTCGATCCCTGATTTGAGCCAATTTATGAAAAAAACATTTTTAAGTTGGTTTTGGTCAGGGTATTCTGGGTATTGCCGTCAGAATTATCGTTATTCTGGTACTCATAGTAGAAATTCCCTAGTTTGAGACCAGAAATTTGGAGTGATTGTCTGGCATTTTTTCCCTAAATATTTCTCTTCTCTTCTTTCTGGCATAGCTTCCAAGAAAAAAGAATCTAACAGAGAGCGTGGCCCCACATGCCGATTTTCAATCGAATTAGAGCAAATCTTCATCTGCCGCTAAAAAACGCTTCTATGGCAGCCATATTGAAAAATTGCGATAAACTAATACATATAACACCAGATTATATGTATTATCGGTGACAAAAATATATATATCTCACGGTGAAATTAATTAAAACGAAAATTTGGCAGTTTCAAACTTAAACTTAAGCAGATACTATAGTCCATCTGTTTAGGTGCTTAAATAAATGTAAACAATTTTGAGATGTCTATTTAATGAAATATACATTTATAAAATGATTTTCCCTTACCTTCAAATACAAAATACAAATACTTAGCTTCATATGAAATTGCATGCCTATTTTTATACCTATTGATTTGTAAAGCATGTGTTTCAATAAAAAGATGTAAAAAGATTGTTTACATTTAGTTAAGTACTTAAACAAATGGACTATAATGACCATTTGCCGAAAGTTGACTTTTTTTGTTACAACTTGTGGTACATATAATTTTAGGTTTGGAGTGGTCTTCGATTGCCCGTGCATTGTGTTTTTCCCGGCTGAGTTTCACCAAGTTGCGTTGAGCATAATCGACGAACCACCAAATCCTGCGTACACACGAAGCGTGCAGTTACGCAGGGCCCTCCCATTCTCTTTTAAGGATCGAGTGATGTCATTATTCTTGCAAGCTGTTACTCTCTTCACCACGGCTTTGTAAGTTTTTTATTTTATTTTCCTTAACAAATTATCGTTCTTAGTTGCTTGAATGAAACTCAATGTGTTATTAATATTTAAATATTTTTCAGTAAATTTGAACCAGCGGAGAGTGTAGTGTATGAAAGTGCTTTTAGCAGGGTTATGACAAAAAAAGGTAAAAGCTTGCCGACGTTTGACGAAATGAAATCCAACATCGCACTGATATTATACAATTCTCATGTGTCAATGGGTTCAAATGTCAGATCTCCGCTCAATTACGTTCCTATCGGAGGCTATCATATTGACACTGAAGGCAAGCCATTGCCGGAGGTAAGCGAATTGTTGTTTACAATTTATAAAATTTACGGTTTTTTACTTTGCCTTTTTTCCTTTCTTCTAGGATTTACAGAAAATAATGGATGAATCTAAAAACGGCGTAATATACTTTAGCATGGGATCAAATTTGCAAAGTAAGGATATACCAGACGAAATTAAAAAAAACCTCCTGAACATGTTCGGTGGATTGAAACAGACAGTTTTATGGAAGTTTGAGGAGCAATTGCCCAATCGTCCTAAAAACGTTCACATATTGAAGTGGGCTCCACAGCAGAGCATTTTAGGTGGGTTGTATTAGTTATCGCTCCGGTTTTTATATTTTTTCAATCAAAATCAATCATCAGCCTACATGCATCCAGTGCTGGACATAAGCTTCCCCTTGAGCACGCCAATTCTCACTACGTTGTCTTTGACGTGGTCGCTATTCCAGAACAAGTCTGCTCCATCGGCGATCAAGCCTTCTGCAGACATACCCGGCCTACTGCCACTGAAGCTTACTGATTTTGCGAGCTATGTCGATCACTTTAGTTCTCTGACGTATGATCTCGTCAGGGATTCGGTCCATCAGAGAAACCCCAAGTCTAGCTCGTTCTATCGCACACTGAGCGACCTTGAATTTGTGGAAGAGGCCTGTTGTTAATGTCCACGTCTCGGTTGCGTAGAACATAACTGGTAGAACGCACTGGTTAAATGCTATGATTTTTAGGCTTTGTGGGATTGACGACGCGAGATATGGCTTTGTTTATTTTAACCGACTTCAAAAAAGGAGGAGGTTCTATATCTCAATTCGATCGTATTTTTTAATTTTTTTTTTGTAGGTTCGCTACGCGATTACTTCGGCGTTTGTGGACCGATTTTAATAATTATTTTTTTGTTTGAAAGAGTATACCTCAGTACTACTCCCATTTATATTGAAAGAAAATATTCCATCTCTGAGGGTGGCTAAATCTAGTGGATAAATCCGGTTTCGCGCACTGTCCGGTACCCGATTTCAATAAAACTTGGCAAATAGACGTATTTCCACGAACTTTTGAGGTCGGTTTTTATTGATACTCTGTATTGATTATGATATAAATAAAGTAACAGGACGAACAAGTCTTGAGCCTGGTAGCCAGCGACAGTCAAACATAAGTTGACATGTGGCTGAAATTTCACAAGCATACTGATCCTCTAAAACCGGAAAACAGAGATAGGATTCTACTGCTATTAAATATTATACGTGGTGTTTTTTTTTATTTCAGCCCATTCTAATTGTATTTTATTCATAACACACGGGGGCCTTCTGTCCTCGACGGAAGCTGTTCATTTTGGGGTTCCAATAATCGGTATCCCAACCTTCGCTGACCAGTTCACAAACATCGAAACCGCTGTTCAAAGAGGTTTTGCAAAGAAAGTGGATCTATCGTACTCCATGGCTGAAGACCTTAAAGTTGCTATTGAAGATATTTTGAAAGATCCTAAGTAAGTGATACAATAAAACCATAGAAATAAATATCAGATAACATCACATAAGTTGCTCTGATCCCAATGTAAGCTACTAGAGCACTTGTGTTATGGAAATCTGGAACATCGACGGTACTGCAAACACCCAGACCCTAGCCAATATAGAAAAGTTAGTTTTTTACATTAACCCGGCTGGGGATCGATCCCGGGACCTCAGGGATGACGACACCGATGTGCAAGCCACTCGACCACGACAGAGGTCATCAATTTTTTTTTTTTTTTTTTCACCAAACACTTAAAAAATGTTACATGACATGATTTCTTGACACCCCTAAACCTACATCGGTTTGTCTGGGTGCTGCACAATCCTCTTATAAACCTAGAAATATGCGCAACAGAAACGTAACCTATTTAATTACAAGTATAGAATTGACAAAATTAACAAAATAATAATGTGTATAACGTTAAGAAATAATTTGAAACGTCGTTAGCGAAACAAAACAACAATAACGTAAAATGCAACACAATTGATTGTGCTCCAAATTACAAATTAAATTAAGTGTCTAACGGACTAGTTTTCTTAAAGTGACTTTTAACTGACCGTTTTATATATACAGGTGTAATTTTTCTTTAATTCAAAGGTAAACTGTTAATTAGTCTTGGTACGATATATACCTTTCTCCATAAAAGTTTTTTGTCTGATGTTATTGATAGTAACTTTGGTGTCTTCAACTTTCTGATCAATAAATTTACAAAAGTTATCTATTAAAAATTTAGTTAATTAATTCGAGAAATAATAATAAACTAACTGTTCTTGACAGTTGTCTTCACAAAGTCAAAAATTTGAAGGGGCAATGTATACGCTTCTATAACAAGATATTCCGGTTAAGCCGGTTGATATTCAAAACTTGCCGTTTTGGAGATTTAAAACTATAGTCAAACAAATTTGTACTGATGATTCATTACTTCTGCTTATTTGGATGACAAAAATGTGTTATATTTACCCGTTTAGCTCTTGCGGAGTCTCTAAATATGATGTTTGTACTAAATCGCATGTGTTTATTTACCAATCCAGAGAGTTTCTTGCTCATTCTTGTTAGGAGAATCTGCTTTACAAATTAACAGCCCCATATCTTTTTACATTAGTTTTGTTTATAGTGATCCTTTCTGCCGACCCTTAAGATACAGGAGAAGGGCACTATAACCTGTGCACAGGTAACTTCTAAGTTCAGATTCTGATCCTAGATCAGCCAGTGTAGAGTGTTGTCACAGACCGATGTCACTGACTTCATCCGGTTGTCAAGAGGCTAGTGCCTCGGGTGAACCGCCCCGGGTGCACGTACAGTACCTTCCCTATTTACCGGAGCTGTAGGCACGCTCGCTTACCGTTGCGCATTGCACAACTAGCGGTTGCTACCGCTGGCGCTGAGCCGTCGACTCTAAAGTCCGACACTAGAGTTTAATCAACATGACGACTTCAAATGTAATTTGCTTACCTATGGAACAAAGATTCAGGAACGACGACGGTACCAAAAACACCCAGACCCGAGACTATATAGAAAAGTTAGTTGTTCTACATTGACCCGGACGGGATTCCAATCTGTCATATCATATCATAATCACTTGGCCACGAAAGGTCTTTATGAGAAATGGCTTTACAAAACGAGTTCTTAGGTGTTGGCGGTTGCTACAAATTGGAAATGAAACTATTGTTTCCGATCTAATATATAATATATATGTTTTTATCGAGTTCTTAGGTTTTCGCGATTGTTACACATAGGAAA